CAGCGAAATTCCAAGATATACTCGCGGAATTTCCAAACTTAACTAAACCAAACCCACAGCCTTCCAAAGACAAACCAAAAGTAAGTCACACTATCAAAACCGAAGGTGCACCGGTGTTTGCAAAACCCAGGAGACTAGCACCAGATAAGCTCAAAATCGCTAGAGCCGAGTTTGATTATATGCTACAACTGGGTATTATCCGTCCCTCTGATAGTCAATGGGCATCCCCTTTGCATATGGTCCCAAAGAAGAATGAAGGTGACTGGCGACCGTGTGGGGATTACAGAGCCCTCAACCGTCAAACCGTACCAGATAGGTACCCAATACCGCATATACAAGATTTCACAAACGGTTTACAGGGTATGAACATATTCACCAAAATTGACTTAGTCAGGGCATATCACAATATCCCGGTGGCTGATGAAGATATCCCTAAGACAGCTATTACAACACCCTTCGGCTTATTCGAGTTTGTACGCATGCCATTCGGCCTGAGAAATGCGGCACAGACATTTCAAAGATTCATAGATAACCTACTTCGAGATATGCCATTTGCGCAGGGGTATATAGACGACTTGTTAATTGCCAGCCCCAATTTGCAATCACACGAAGAGCATGTACGAGCAGTGTTGAAAAGATTGAATGAACATGGAATAAACATACATCAAAGTAAGTGTGTTTTCGGTGTTCAAACTTTAGAATTTCTTGGTCACACAATAAGCCCAGAAGGGATTAAACCTATAAAAAAAGAAGTGGATACCATCAAACAATACCCGATACCTAGCTCTCTAACACAAATGAGAAGTTTTCTAGGTCTAATTAACTTTTATCGCAGATTCATACCAGGTTGTGCACAATTAATGCAACCTTTAACAGATTTACTTAAAGGAAAACCAAAAGAATTCAAACTGTCTTCTGACGCCGTCGAAGCTATTAAACAGCTTAAAGATAAACTGGCTCAAGCAACTACGTTGATATATCCGAATTCTCTTTCCCCACTTGCTTTGATGGTGGATGCTTCAGATAAAGCAGTAGGCGGTACCCTTAACCAACTGGTTAAAAACGCCTGGAAACCAATTGCTTTCTTCTCGAAAAGACTCGCTCCAGCTGAGACAAGGTATTCTACCTTCGGGCGAGAACTTCTTGCAATCTACCTGACTATTAAACACTTCCGACACATGTTAGAAGGTAGGGAATTTATAGTCTTTACGGATCACAAACCACTGACGAATGCATTAAAAGCGAGAGCCGATAAGTACTCACCTCGAGAAGTCCGACACCTTGACTATATATCACAGTTCACAAGCGATATCCGACATGTCAAAGGTCAGGACAATCAGGCGGCAGATGCTTTATCCAGACTAGAAATGAACGTGGTACAGCAGTCTACAGTAAACTTCGAGACGTTGAGACACGAACAAGAGCAGGACCTAGAATTACAAAACCTACTCAAAACAAACAATTCAAGTCTTAATTTAAAACAGTTCCCATCACCTATCGATGGTATTCTAATTTACTGTGACACGACCAAGGCAATGCCGCGACCTTTCGTTCCCAAAAATATGCGAAAGTTGATATATAATAACTTTCATTCTTTGTCTCATCCTGGAGCAAAAGCTTCAACTAAACTAATCAATGCCAGATATATATGGCCGAATTTACAGAAGGATGTACACAAATGGGTTAGAGAGTGTTCAGCATGCCAACAATCAAAGATTAATCGTCACACAAATTCACCCATAGGTGTTTTCTCGCAACCAGATGCACGTTTTGCACATGTGCATATCGACTTGGTAGGTCCTTTACCACGTTCAAACGGTTTTAATTATCTTTTTACATGCATAGATCGATTTACCAGATTCCCTATAGCCATCCCGATAGCGGACATCACAGCGGAAACAGTAGCCAAAGCTTTCATGCAGAACTGGGTAACCATTTTTGGTACACCCATAACAATAACGACGGATAGAGGAGCGCAATTCGGATCCGAACTATTTAATAACTTGGCTAAACTTCTAGGCTCTAATAGGATACGCTGCACTGCATATCATCCTCAGGCTAATGGGATGGTAGAACGTTTTCACCGTCAGCTAAAAACCGCCCTTATATCTCACTCAAACCCCAATCAGTGGACAGAATTCCTACCTTTAGTTATGCTGGGAATACGAACATCTGTCAAAACTGACGCACAGTGTTCAGCTGCGGAACTGGTTTTCGGAACAACTCTGAGACTACCAGGTGAATTTATTAACCCTAATACTAACAGTCAAAAACTTAATTTAGAAAATTACGTAGATCAACTACGGGACCATATGTCCAAACTTAAACCAATTAATACTCGCGAACAATCGCGCGCCGTATATGTACCTAAAGACCTAAGCAATTGCACGCACGTCTGGATAAGATGTGATAAAATAAAATCACCACTCAGTCCTCCATTTGAAGGTCCTTTCAAAGTCGTCTCAAGAAAATCTAAATATTTCGTGATAGAAAAACATGGAAACATCGACACAATAAGTATTGATAGGCTAAAACCGGCTTATCTAGATCATGAACCACCATACGTATTGTTAGATCGTTTAACTGACAAATCCATTACGGAATCGAAATGTAAAGATGATAAATCTTTACAAATGACTAAAACGGTCCGCTGGGCACATCCAATTAGTCAGTCAAGGATGTTGACAGTTTCGGCTGCAGGATAAAATCTAACCACGTAGCTAATCAGACCCTGCATCTACTTAAAAATATTTTTTCCCCATTCCGCCTCACCTACAACTCCCCAGACCTTTTACCTTTAATATATAAGTATTATGTTAAATATGTTTTTTTAAAATACTGGACACATAAGCTAGGTATTCCGAAACGATGGCTGAGGATTTTAATCAAACTCATACAACTAACACTGGCAAATACAACGATATCAAAAAGCAACCCAGGCGAGTTTTATAATTTCTTTTTCTGGTTAATTAACTATGTTGGCTGTAATTCTTATATATCTATATACATTTTTCACGTAGACTGGCTATACATATATACCATATGAACTACTTCTAAAAGTTTTCGGTCGAAGATATGTTTAGTAGCTTGATACGATTAATACTACTATTAATAAGTGGTTTTCTAGACAAAACATTTTGGATTAAACCATGGCCAAGTACTTATTAAAGTTCTCATCATTTTTTTTCATGTTTAGGAAACTTATGTAATGACTTAACCAGTTTTCCTGCAGCATGCTTTTTAGTGTGATCATATAACCCATCTTTATTGGCAATATTCAGATTTTTTTTTAAATTCTGACATTTAAGAATCAATAACCGTGCAGATATAGTACAGTGCGCTACTGTAAGGTTACTATGTTAGCCGCATTGATTCCGCATACCTAATTTTAAACACAACTTATAAAGGAACTCTTAAGTAATCATAACATTGAACTAACGATATGACTATCATAGCTATGTTAACGTTAAACCAATTATTATTAGTGGTCCTGACAAAACCCTGGAACTTAACACTAGCGTTATAAAAAAGACATGTTATGTCAGTAACTTTTATATATATATACTTTTTCTCTCGGTTTAAGTATAACGTAAAATGGAAATTACAAAACTTGTAGATTTTTTTTCTCTATAGTATTATTAGTAATCCAAACAAAGAACGTGTACTGTTCCAATATGGCATTCTGATATATCAACCAGTCCTCCTGTTATTTTTCTCTCATATCTGAGCAACTTATGGCCAACAAACATCGTATTGAAGGGGGTTTCGATGAACAAAAACGCATGACCCACACGCACTCGAACCTCTGCCCTTCTGAATGCTAGACCGCGTACCTAGCCATTAGGCCACATCAGACCACGAGGGGTGACTGCAATCTTTCCTTTTACCAATTATTCATTCATAATACTAATGAGTAATAGGACTTACACACTTCTAAGGTGCAGACAAATTCGTTACTTTGATTAATTGACGAAATATTGCCTCAGTATATCATACATATTTAAATCAAACCAGAAAAGAGTATTTGACACAACTGTACTTGATCCTCATACTCTACACAATTTTCTCCCCTCTTTAACCGTATATTCTCTTCCGTTTTATGGAGTAAAATTATGCACCCTTGGTTACGTACCTGGTTAGAAAAGGCGGTTGTCACATTCCCAAGGTCACACATTTGAACGGGTTTTGACAATGAGTCCAACTTCTAGCAAGTTTACACTTACATTTATACATTATAAAAAAGGATTTTATTTGTTTTCATACCTTTTCGTACACAAGATGGCTACACTATGTCTATTTTCTTCCAGAATACCAATCCGTTCTGGAGGCCAATCACTTACGTGGAACCGAACAATTATCAATTATGTTTATGTATTTCCATTTTGTATCTTACCCAGACAACCCAAAAAGGGGAAATAATGGGGAAAAAAGAGGAAATAAAGGGGTAAATGCTATGGTGGCGAAAGGGGAAATAAAGGAGAAAACGCGCCAGAATGTCGCCTTTTTCGCCTGTCCGGGGGAAATAATGCGGAATTTCCCCTTTTTCGCCTTTTTGTCGACAAATTACCCACTTATCGCCTAAATATCCTCCGAATTGTCGCTTTTTCGCCTAAATATCCGCAGAATTGTCGCTTTTTCGCCTAAATATCCCCCGAATTGTCGCTTTTTCGCCTAAATTTCCGCCGAATTGTCGCTTTTTCGCCTAAATATCCGCCGAATTGTCGCTTTTTCGCCTAAATATCCGCCGAATTGTCGCTTTTTCGCCTAAATGTCCGCCGAATTTTCGCCTAAAAATCCGCTGAATAGTCACGTTTTCGCCTAAATATCCGCCGAATTTGCGCCTAAATATCCGCTGATTAGTCGCATATACGCCTAAATACACACATTACACCCCATTTTCTATCCATCGACAGAAGACCAAAGGTCTCCTGCATTCGCCTTCATTTCCAACAACACACAAAAATATTTCTGCAATGCAGTTTAAAAGCGGTAAATTTTTTGAATATTGTATTTAAAAAGAAAAACCTATAATTGTACAACAGTATAGCACAAGCTTAGGCATCTATTGTTATGCATATCCAATGCAATTGCTAATTCATTTTTATAGACAATTATCTGAAAAAGAAGTAACAGTTTTTGTTTTATTTATAAGCAATGTCCATTTAATCGAAAATTCACTCAAACTCAAACACATTCTCAACAGTTTCCCAAGTAAGTAAAAAAGTAAGCTGTTTGAAAGAAAAATGTTTATTGACATCTAGGTAGAACACCAAAATCATTGCACGGACTATTCGGAATTGAGGTAGTCGTCCTGTGAATTCTGAATAAAAAAAAAGTCACAACCATATCTCAATGATGTGCTTTAGCACACCCAAATACTTGAAGCTGAACTTACGGTGATGTTCGTTAATATTGTCGACTGTAACTATAGAGCCGTAGGGAGGTTATCACTTTAAATCTGTACATACCTGGTTATCTTTTCTCCTAGAACGTTTTATCATCTTGTCTCGGATGTCGTGAAAGTAACCTTGGGTCGCGATGTCGTAGAGCTTACCAAGGTCTTTTTCGTTGACAGAGGATGACAAAAACCGATGAGTCAAAGCACCTGAAGTTTAAGTAATAGATAAATGTTACTTCGTATGCAGCCGTAAAACGTGCATTTCTGCAGTGCTCGTTTTGAAGAGGTGCCAAGTAACGTGAATTTACTGGCAACCTCAGGTGTCAACAGATAAGACAAAACAAACCGCATGGACGCTTTTGGGTCGTCACTTGATAGCCTAGTGACCATTGCCATCTGTAATCGTCACAAAGAATTAAATTTATGTTAATGACTTACAAATCTGTCCCTCGTTTCTTTCTGCGACAAGCCGGTATCAAGCATCTGCAGTTCCTCTTCAGATGACAAAGGAAACTGCTGACTGGACAGTCCGCAATCGAATTGATGTGGTTTTTCGCTTTCACGACAATTCGATAGCAGTTGGTTCACATTAACATTCGAGTCAGTAATGGCGGACGACATGTTGTTAATTGTTTTTGTCAGTTCATTGATAGCTGACGACATGTTCAGCACAAGTGTATACAACCTTTCACTGCCGAAAAAGGTCACTACATGATGCAGGTAACTTACTTGTCCACTATAGCGCCGCCAACATGCTTACATTCCGATGTCGAAGGTGATGTCTCCAAATGTGTCGAACTAATTCGTGAATATCTAAATACTAATTAAACGTACTTGGCGATTGGCGATATTAATTTCTCGAAAACACGGAATTTTGGATATTGTACGGGCACATTCCTAGACTGCATCTCAGCAACATCCATGTCTACTGAATTGTAAAGAAAATCTTCTTTACGCTTCATTACACCTCTACGAAATGTTAGTAAGATTATTGTACAGACCTTTTTGGCTTTTCAGTGTTCAGTGGCAAAGTGTTTTCATCCATTGAGGTGTTTTTCCGTTTAGACTCCAGTATCTGTAGGGCAACTAACAGATCTTTTGCCGACTGGAGAGAATCTATGGTGAATTATCCATCCTGTGTATGTAACGTACCTAATTCGTGAATCACTTTACATTTCATAAATGACCAATTTTCATTCGGTTGGTCGCTCTTCTGAAGATGTAAATCGACATGCTCTTTCGGAAAAGCGCACAGTTCCTTTCCTACGATCCAATCTTTGTGTGCTACCATTAGTTGTTTTTTGCTCAAGACGTCAACAATGACGTATTTCTTGTTAGCAGGCTGAAAATAACATAAGACGTAATTAAATGATTTATCGTCATTAATAAACACTAGTGAAACAAAATGCATTTACAATACAGTATGTAACAATGGGACTATAACTACATAATTGATACAGTTGATGGCTATACATTTACAATCAATGTCCTTAAGTGATATCCATGTGTGTTCATGGCTAACTACGGAGCACCTAAAAATTCCAATATCAGTAGATGGGAATGGATCTTCAAAGTAATTGCGTGGGTCAGTGAAAGTCCTAAATTTTAGTAGTCCATCCTCCTTTATATCAGTGATTAAACCTGGCTGGCCGTTCACTACTACTACATTATCAGGCTGACATGAAGTAATTTTACTACTGTTAAACATAATTACTTGTTTTGTAGAGACATCAGTTGTGCCTATTGGGGTAGTATTAGTTAAGCCACTAATTTGAAGCCTATCGCTGAAGGACATTCTCTCAGCATAACGCTGTGCTGCTTGCTTAGCCACTGCAAACCCACTACGCACGGAATCCTTAATTTGTCTCATATAAGACTCGAATGGAAAGGCTGAAAAACTATCTAAAGGTCCATGTGCTTGAACGTCGTCAGGGAGGTGCTGTAACGAATGCACATTGTAAACTAAGTGTTCACACCCATAACACCATTCATATTCATTCATGAAGTTTAGTAATTCCATTCTGGCGGTTTCTACAACACTTTTATGCAGTTTGGGATGTGCAAGCAGATACATGGATAACGCTAAACGCCGGAAATTAAGATAATAAGGTTGTGGCAATGTCTTTTCAAGAATCACCGGGCCTAAATATAGCAGGAACAACCTACATTCAGACGCTTTCCATGCCGATACAAAGTCTAGTGTACGGCATTTACGGGGAAAGTCAGAAGGAGTACTTGCCACACAACCGGATATTAAATTGTTTATGTCTCTAATTGCACATGAGTTAAAGTTCCGCATTCTTCGGCGTGCTAAATCTATCCATAAATTAGCTAGTTTTTTTGTAACTCCAAGGTACACCATGTGCATAGGATCTAGAGGAAAAGCTACAATCATATTAATAGAAAGCGTTTCCATTATAGAATGTCCTTGATGGTGAATAGATTGAGTCTGACAACGGAAGGTGTCGTCTGTTCTTAAAGTATATACCCCATTTGCAAAAGTTGTCTTACCCTCAAGCCGTCTTCCAAGAACAGTACACCTATCGCAACCTGCCTTACCGTTATGATTCACCGTGTACCTAACAGAGGAACGAGCAGGTGCGTCACATATAACAGCCGCCAACCGAATAGCTATGCATTTATTAAACTTGACACTAAAAAGACCCACGTCAGTCATTTCTTTTATTTCAGAAATTGTGTTCGCAGAAAATTCGTTAAATTCTGCGGGTTTACTATTCCCTCCGTAGATACCTATCATGAACACGTCACTAAGCCTAGGGGTAATGATCCGTCCTAGTATAGGCCATAACTGTTGATTAGAGCTTCTAGACATAGAAAGTCCATCTATATTAACATATAAATTTAAAGAGTCAAAATCAATAGTACACAACCAAAGCTCAACGTATCTTAGCAGATTGGTTTTCAATCCAAGATGGTAGTAAACCCCACTGCCGATGAACTTTGGTTGAACACTTGGACACGTCTTAAGAACACTTCTGATGCTTTTCGGTATTTCCGGTATAAGAAATCGTAGACCATACAAAACCCGATCAGCATCTCTTATGCTAAGAGATGTATTTGACTTTAGATACATTATAAAGTCGTTCATTAGTTCTTTGCGATTCACGAACTTTTGAGAGCACAAGTCCACTTCAGTACATCCTATAAGATATATATTCACGTAAGAATTTATTGTTCATACCACTATTATGTGAAAGCCTTTGATTGATGTTGCTAGTGGACGGTGTACTAGTTGAAGTACTTTCATTACAAATGACTTCTCTCGTTATTTCTATAAATTAAGTAAACAACATTGTTGAACTCAGTTACCTTTTATGGTGCTGTCATTAGCAAACTCACTAAACGAAAAAAAGTGATATTTTTTCATGAGAGCAGCTTTCATTTTATTCCACCTTCTATTATAAGTGGATCTATGACAGCCAAGGGAACGTGACAAGTTCACAGTGGCCCTACGTCTACGAACATTCTCACTGACTTCAATAGAACTCATAGTATTGGCCTTACAAGGTAATCAATTACAATTAACATGAAAGTCTGAGAGCACGTCACTCACCTGCATCACGTAAGTTTTTTGTGATGGCTCCAAAGAATGTCGGAACACTTCAGCTAAACAACAAACGAAGTCACTCTGTGTGCGTATCAACCGAATGCCTGGTTCCGTATCTAGTACATTGTTTCTATGACAATACTTTTGTTTCTTTACTAAGCGGCGCCTTAATTCGCCGAAGTCTATGGAAAATTCTGTTCCTGATGCGGTTTATTCAAAAACTGTACGTTACGTAGAATTGTCGACAAATTTCCCCCAAATACACGACGTAAGGAAGAAAAAGCGACATTTCCCCTAAATAACCGACGTAAAGGCGAAAAAGCGACATTTCCCCTTTATTTCCCCTTTCGTCCGCTTTATTTCCCCTTTTTTCCCCTTTATTTCCCCTTTTTGTGTTGCTTGGGTATTATTTTGATGCAGGCAGTGGAGCGGTTCTTTAGGTTTGATTGGTTTTCACCATTACCTTTGAAGTAGATTCTTCTTTACTTTTTACTTGAGGGCGACTCAAGAGGCAGGTGAGTAAACACCTGATAGCCGGTCTGAGCATGGAAAAATCGTACCTCACCAACATGGTGTTGGGTAGCCCGCTCGCGGCACTTCCTCAGATATTCTTATTCCACAGTTTAACACTCTTTCTCATGAAAGCACTCAGTAAACCGTCAGCTATAGTTGTAGAAGAAATCACATGCTACTAAATAAGATGACAAGCTAGTAAATGAAGAGACATCCATGGACTACCGTTGACAGCGTTAGTTGCCACTTATTGTAAGTCAAACATTGAGTGAGTTGATAACTTTCCCTTGGAATGAGAAATCGAACTAAGGTGTTTTTGATAGATAGGTTAATCGAACCGACGTTCCTACGGAAGTCGATTCTAGGGGGAAGCTAATGTAACAGCATAGGTTGGTTGGTTAAGAGTTGACCCCAAACAACCAAGCATATGCCAAAACAGTATTGTTCAAGTATTCATTCACTTCCTTATTTTGTATAAGCGTTATATTCCTTATTATCTTATATTGAATGCTGAAAGCCTTTGTTTGTCTGAACAGATAATCCCACGCTCCACTGTGACTGCGCTAAGATCGAAATAAACACGTACTCCATAATTCTGTGGTTTCTTCTATCAATAGTACGGGGGTTACCTATAGGCACGAAAACTAGACTATTCAGTAGACAACATATATAACGCCATTCGTGAGGAGTAGCAATGATCAAAAAGCATCCAGAATAAAATATGCCGTATGACGATTAATTCCAGGGTGCTTTGATGTTGTTGACTTTTTTGTCACCCACTCGAATCAAAACAGTTGAATGAATCCAGATAATTGTGTGGTTACCATTACATGAGCCATCTAAAATGACCTTATGATTGTAGAAAACGTATAGTTTAAACTCACCGTATGTTTTTGGAGCAATGTCACCCTCTTGCTTGGCGATGGAACTCGAAAATAGGAAATAAGACAGGCAGTGGTCGGAAGAAAAGGTATTACACGATAATGCACAGAATATATTAATTGAAGAATCACTAATATTCGGTAAAGATAACTATTTAGTCCTTACTTACGTTGTTAGTCAATACATATTTAGGTTAGTTATAGATCATATTTGATAGAGCTTGATGTTTAAACAAGTTTATTCCGCAGAAGCATAAACTTACTAATGAACCATCATAGTTAATTGATATAGATAACCGGTTATTGGTATCGATTGAGTTAGTTTGTTATGCATACTAATCAATATAACATTATGACAGTATATGTGAGAATTAATCAGAGGACTAATAGAATACTGGATTAAAATAAGTATTTACAAGATGACTGATAGTAATAGGCTGCGTTTCTTTAGTCGGGTTCACCAGTGTAGAACTATGGTCTACTATGATATTAGTACTGCTCTAATAATAGACCTAATACTAAAATTGTAGATTTGCCATGATATAACTGCCTAATCTATAAGATCTTACGTGGAAGTTACACGATCGTCTACACCAATTCATTGAATTGTAGCATTTGGGAATACATGATGTAGAACAAGCTTAGGCTAGAGATAGAACAATATATTAAATATGAATAAAAGATACAAAGTAACATTCAGCAGGGACCATGCCTTGAAGGTCAAGTCATGCCATTTGATCAACTCCAATTAATTCAACTCCTTGTTCCTACCTTCTCCATCGTTAGGTATTTCTCGGCGTCAAATATTGAATATCTATTTTTTTGAGTAGTCTCGTGTTCAGCTTAGACGATTGTGTGGTTATGATTTAATGTCACTATAAGTCTTCCTGTAGTGGTGAACACAGTGAACCGCAACTCGACGCCACACTACAAGATCATGCACCCAGTGATTTGAACAAACAATCAGGGAAATGAAATAAAGAGGAATGAACGAAACATTTTAGAGAAGGCAAGTCAGTCAGCTCGATTTGATCAAGCGTTGACCAATATTTATAGTAAGATAGAAATAAGCTGCAGACATGTGATGGGTAGTATAAAATGTACACACACATATGCATATCTAAAAGCAGTCAGAATAAATAAACCAATAAGTGACAAGGTTAAAAATGAGTTTAAGAAATATTAAAAGATCGGCTTGTCTGGAAGCTAGAATAAGCTACGTGGGTTTAAAATGGCAAATGAGTTAAAATTATCCCCCACATCTGTAGGTACTTTTGATGTTTAAGGGTGCACCAGCTATCGTAGGCTACTAATAAGTTTGTGAGACATGAATAACCTATTCTAAAGCCATGCTGGCTTTCAGAAAAATTATACAAATCCTTCTCAATAATCTTTCATAAATTTTTGACAATCACTTTGGATGGGCTTGCCGGTCGATAGTCCTTAGGTTTATGTCTCGTACCTGATCTGAAGACAGGACTCACCATAGCATTCTTCCAGTCTTATGGTAATTGACCATGCGTTACAGATTAGTTGGAACATATAACTAGGGGATTCGCGACAAAATTTGCTAGTCCATCTAGTAACCTAGGATGTATTTCATTGAATCTCATGGATTTGCCTATATTAAGCTTATTCGTCAGACCAAAGACACCGATTTCTTTAACGGTCACATTGTCCACTGTTTGTAGGAGGGGGTTTGAATTAACTGAATGAGAAAGCATCTTCAAGGTATGTACATTGCTAAATTTGGGAATACCCGAGCTTTACCATAATCGTTCCTCACTAGTGATGCAGTACTACTCTGTCCGCATAGTGCCGGAATATTTCTTCTCTTTGTTCTTTGGTTTATGTACGAGCATAAGCGTGTAAGGGTGTTCTATAAATTCCTTAACAGATTTTTCTCCGTATAACTTTCTAGGCTTGAGAAGGGTCGAGGTAGAAATATTTCGAGCTTCCCAATGCTGAGACTTTGTCTCGTTAATACCCAGTAACCTCCTCACCAAACCACAGTAGGGAGATTCCCAGACCCCTTGGTGTAGTCCAAGTGATACCTAGCTTCCACAGCTTGTTAAATAGGCTTTAAGCATTTGTGTAACAGAGCCGGAGCCCATATAAATGGATTCGTGCTGTATTCAAAGTGGCTTCAGCATCATTCCTTGTCGATGCCTCACCACCCAAAAATTTACAATTCCAAGGTCCCTCTAGCTAGGGGAACCAAAAGTACAAATAGATTTATAAAGTACCAATTTACTTGAAAGTGAAGATGACAAATTACTTTCGAAAACGGATGCTCTAGGCGAACACTTTAACTGAATCGAATTCAATCAAAGTGAAAACAGTATTCTTTATACAAAAAAAAACGATGAAAACAACAAAATTAACTCAGATGGGCAATATGACACTGATCTTTTTTAAATATCGCGTGTGATAAGATGCTTATCTTCAGAATGTAGATTCTCGTAGTGATCGGCATTCGTTTGAAATGCATGCACCTTCTAACTCATCACCACGACCTAGACAAAGAAGGCTACATCGGCAATCTATGCATAATTTATTTCGAACGAATTTATGCTTCAAGTCTAAGTATTTCCACTGCCAGTCTGGTTTTTGGGTTTGCGATGTAAACGGTGAGCTTAAGATCACCACCGCTAAAACCGTGCAACCATCCTTGCATAGAGGAATTTATTTCTGAAGATCCTTCGAGACGATAGCTGACATAGAGTGAACGGTTGTACTTAAGATAGACAGCAGTGGACATCGGGTTTGTCGAATGTTCCACACGCGACTTTCCAAGGACGATGTTGCCAAGATGCCGTCTAAGTTGTATTCAGGTTATTAAGTACAAATTCTGATTGATTGAGTTTAGACATTAGAAATACCAACGAGATTATACCACGCGTCCAAACAAACACTGAAGTAAAAGTATTCAAAGAAAATGGGGACATGTCTATGACTAGCTTCTGTCGTAGGGAGAAAATAGCTATCTACCACCCATCTTCGTAACTTGTATGTATTCACTTGATTTATAAAACCAGTAAAGTTGGGTAAGTACCGAATAATAAAAAATTTATCCTAAAGCTTTTCACTGTCTCAGCCAGTTGTAACACGCACGTTTGTTATGGATTCGGTAGCGAATAAATTTTTTACAGTGCGGGCTACTCACAGTCATGCCCACATAATACTGCATTCGTCTTAGGCGCATTTTTCAGAAAGGTAATCGTTAACCGTGCAAATTATTTGCTGCAGTTCAGAAATACCGATATTTGCAAATGCTTGGACACGTCCTATATAAATCAGGCGGTCTGGCATGTAAATTTCGCTTTTTCATAATGAATCGGATTCAGATTTACTCATAAGTGCGAATGCATGAGAACGTACTTTCCACTGGCCTTCGATTACATAAGAGATCACTGGATTAACTAAAATTCAACGTGTGCTCTCTATTATCACTGACATGTACTAAACCTGAATGTTCTAATAAACCCTTGAAAGAATGACACAGAAAGGGTGATTCTTTTTACTTTCACATAACTCCCTTTATATAGCCATCAACTAGTTCTTACAGCTTTACGAAAGGTAGAGTGCACTGTGAGTTCTTGTGTTACCGTGTGGCTGTGAAACATGGGGATGATTATCTAAGCCAATTGTTAGTAGGTAACTATTACCAGGTTGAGGTCTGCACGGTTAGTCATCTGAACCATCTACCGAATGTTGCAACCTTGAACTCCATGTATCAACTATTAGGCGAAATTCAGTAATAATAAATTACTTAGAAATCACACAGGGGTTAATTTTCATCATCACTATGCTGACTTTGCTAAGCCTTTGTTTTAGTATACAAGAGTAAGACTGGATGTTTGGCATCAGTTAGCCTTATTATTCGAAAAAGCATTGACTCACGTATTTTATACGTTCTCTTTGGTCAAAGATCAGAACATATACATATTTTTCTCTCTTAGTGGTTTGCTATTCTCAACTTAACAGCCCTTTCTCCATCTTCACTTCTGTAGGTTTGTCCATATAATAAGTTTTGAATAAATCCACTTCACTTGAAAATTCAGTAGGACTCATTTATCACCTGGAATCTGGAGAAGTCAAAAGACAGTGACCCGGCTGAATGACAATCACACGATTTGCAGTTAGCGGAATATGTGATAAGAAATGTATTATCTGAAGAGGTTCCAGGGGTACATATCACGAATGTTATACGACTCGGCAAATGGGTTGGAGACGAGAGCCAACCAAGAAGGATCTTAAAGCTGATTCTCGGGAATTTTGAAGAAAGAGATATATTATTGAAAAACTCTTACAAAACTCGTGATTCCAATATTGGTATCCGACCAGATCGGCCGCTTGAGGATAGAATCAAGTGGAAGAATGCCCTTACGGGGTTGAGAACTCGCATATCGAATGGCGAAAATAACCTTACCATTAAGGGTTTTCGGGTAGTCAGATCTTGGAAGCCAATGCTTTCGACTTCTGTATGGATAGAACGAATGATTACCAAAACACCTTAAGTGTGTGCTACACGAAAGCCCGTGGTCTTAGAAATAAAACGTCCGAGCCAAGTCTGATGATGGATGAATTAAGTCCCGATATAATTGTTATTACAGAAACTTGGTTCACCATAGATATAGAATGTTCTCTCATCATTGCAGGCTATATCTCTATTAGAAGTGATAGAGTTTCAAGTCGCAAGATGGGAGGCATAACGCTAAACGTTAGAGATAACTTTCGTATACAGTCAATCATATCGGAGGCTCATGTTAGTAGTACATGTGAGGTAGCATGTTGTAAGATTAAATCTAGAGATGGGTTAGTGACTATAAGTGGAATATGCCGTAGTCCATGTTGTCTTGCTGACGACTTTATCTTAAGACACATCTGTCTTTGGAGTATGGAAGAATGTTGTCTCATCATTGGGGACTTCAGTACACCGCTTATCAACTGGATAGAGCTTACAGCTACAGATGGAGGTTTCGATAGACCTTTTATCAACCGTTATTCAGTGTGCACTTGTATAATGCATCAAATAACCGACACATATTGATTTGAAACATGATCCGTCACTGCTGGACCTCGCTTTCACCCACCACTGTGATGATGTCTTTGATATTCAGCACCTTTCCTCACTAGTGAACAGTGATCACGTTGTATTTCACCTTAAGTTTAGGACAAATGGTATACAATTTGTATCTGCTCCACCCCGTCCCAATTTCTGGCGAGCTAATATTCCGGTAAACAGAAACTGTGCTATCTCGACTGATTGATCGGTCGATGCGGGTGGATCGATCGACGACGAATGCAATAAGTTTAAGGCTACATTCGAGTCCGTAACGACACCGTTTATCCCACGTTCAGCACGGAATCTTTCGCATTGCCCTCCATGGATTAATAAGCAAACCCGGAAGCTGTTAAAGCGTGAGAAACACTTCTGGGACATATTCTTGTTGACAGGTCATGCACCATTTAAGTGTGAGTACCAAAAATTCCGGAATATTTGTGAGAAAACCATAGCTAAATCCCGTACTACTTACGAACGACAGTTATTATATGATAACCGTACTTGTCCGAAACGCTTGTTTTCGTATGTTAAACGGCGAATGAAACGTAGTGATGGTATTTCTTTGTTACTGTTACACGAAAATTCAGATTTACTAGCTGAATCAGATCGGGCAAAAGCTTAGACTTTTTCAAACTATTTCGTCGAAGTCCACTCTACGTTTATTGTAACAAATATTTGTCCCACTCACACCGAGATACCAACCATTGAATATGTACAGATGACTGAGGAAACTGTCCTTCCGTTGATAACTGACATCAAACCTGGTAAGATACCGGGCCCTGACGGGTTACGTCCTTGGTTGCTGTCATCTCTTACGGACATTATTTCAAAGCCGCTTGCGACACTCTTCAATATGTCCCTTTCACTCGATCAACTCCCTAAAGATTGGAAAGACGCTCTAATCAGTCCTATATTTAAGGATGGTCAGAGACAGATAGTATCTAACTACCGGCCTATCAGTCTAACTAGCATTGTCGTTAAGTTATTTGAAAAGGTAATTTGGGTGAGGTTGCTAAGCCACATAGATTCACACAATCTGTTAGCTTCTGAGCAACATGAATTTTGCAACAAGCGTTCATGCTTGACTAACTTACTTATTGCGAGAAAGGATTGGACAGCAACCCTAGATAACGGTCTTTCTGTCGATGTGAAATTCATAGCTTTTAGCAAAGCATTTGGCAAGGTTTCACAATTAGGTCTTATGCAGAAGCTCAGGAGCTTAGGTATAATAGGTACTATACATGAGTGGATAGGAAACTTCTTATGTGACTGCAGACAGAGAGTGACGGACAATTGAATGCTATTTAACTGGAAGCCGGTCAAAAGTGGTTTACCCCAAAACACCACTAAAGGCTCTCTGCTCTTCCTTCTCTACGTTAATGAGTTATCGCTGTTGCTTAGGTCGTTGACATTATTGTTTGCGGATGACGTAAAAATCTGGAGAACAATAGAAAGTGAAACTGATCATCTGGATCTCTAAGCTGACTTAGACGATTTAGTTAGATAGACTCGAGGTTGGGGCTTAGAAATCAATTTTAGGAAGAGTGTGCTAATGCACATCAGCCATGGTAATAGTTATCATTATACTATTATTGGTAAACCTCTTCCATACGTTCAAGAACATAAAGACTTAGAAGTAGTAATAAGTCATGACGTAAAAACAACCACGCATTGCAACGCAGCCACGTTCAAAGGTTTTTGTGTGTTATGGTCACTTCGCCGAGCGTTCAAATCTTTTGACGAGGAAACGTTTCGAATTTTATATCCCACCTATGTAAAGCCACATCTAGAGTACTGTATTCAAGCAGCTAGCCCATGTCTGGTAAAGGATACTAACTCACTTGAGCGTGTCCTGCGTGTGAGAACAAAATTAGTGAAGGGTCTTTCTAGACTCCCTTACGATTAGTGTTTAAAATGCCTAGAGCTTTTCCCCTTGTCGCATCGAGAGACGCGAGATGACCTTATACTGGCATTTCGTACCTTTAATTATGATTTGGGTATTAATATGTATTATCTTTTTGCTCCCTCCAGCACTAATGATCTCCGAGGTCATAGCAAGAAGGTTCATAAACCGCGATCTAATAAACGTAAAGTGGGGTCCCGTTTTTCTCATCGAGTAGTCAATGATTGGAACGCCTTACCCGAACAAGTGGTATCAGCCCCATCAATGAATATTTTCGAAGAGAAACTAGACCTTCACTGAAAATCAATCTGTCAGGATTAACACAGGTTCACCAACCTACTATCCTTATTACTGGAGACTGAAGACTGACTGATTGGTTAGACAGCAAGATATAACTATTACCATAAAAACGGATATTACTTTGATGCTGCAAGGGTCATCTAAATATTCAGCCGGATGATTAAGAATACAATGCAAGTCACGTAAGACTTTATTAAACATATAGTCCCCAGAAATCCATACCTAACTTTGTGGTTGTTGAACTTTCAACAAGTTGTTAGCGGCTTCTTTGAAGGTCGTGATGAGAGACGAAAGAAAAAGGGTTAAGGATCAGGAAGGTCAGTACTGCTAAAGGGTTCTGATATAATTGTGAGCATGTCCAGTCACTAAGGTCTTATGCAAATAGATTATAATATCTTATGGAAGCCAGTGTTCTGTCTCATGATACTGTTGTGTTTTAAAGGTTGAATTCGGACTAATATTTAGGAATTGACTAGTTACGTGAATGTATTATGCGTCTCAGTATCACTTCACGTTAAGTATCAATGATAGTGGTAATTACGACCGACTTAGTACGTTTTAGATTTTTACTTTATGATAACACTAATCTAACATCAGTGACCGTTAAAATCAGACTTCGAGCTAACGATATATTTTTTGGGCTATGATAAGCTTATGTGTGCCAGAATCTTCTTTTTATTGTGCATTAAGCACTTGATGAATTATTAGATGGTGCAGTACGTACAAAACGTTTTAGTCCTATATTCGTTTACGTGTACGCAAACATTGGTACAAAGGGGAACCACCATGTATGGGCGCCACACAAAACTTTTGTAAGAGCTCGGATACCTCACGGTTTTCTTGAGGAGCCATCCCCCGAGCCTTTGACTTGGAGATTGATCCTCAAGCCATTGAGACAATGTTAGTATATGTAGTCCCATTGTAGTCGGTGGCCAAGAATAGGTTCGTAAAACATTTGTTCACTCATGAACCTGAGACCCATGTGGACCGTTGGTTAAGAATCAGGGTTTTCCGACTCTCTTAGGTGAATTCTTCGTACCCACCAAACCGGTTTAAGCTCCGAACATTCGCTTTTCGTACTCTGAATTTCGTAAACAACAACCCCGCCGTGAGAAAAAAATGAGTATAACTTCCTTGCCAGTCGCTATGTAAGAGTGAACATATGAGAGCCTCTTGAGAGGAGACGGCCTTTCCCTGCCCTCGGCTGTACTGAGGGGGGCTTTAATCCTAAAAGCTAACATATGTTTTCTTGTGTCCCTAAATGCCCTGGTATGGCCAAGAGTGGGGTGAGCCCTCCCTCTCGAAGTGCTCTCACGTGGCCACGCCCACACAGCCTTTGGCAGGGGAGTCCTACTCACTGCCTTCTCGTGGTGGGGGTGTTTTTTACGAGATTGAGAGGACGGAAAACGAATGTCCGGCGCTTTACCCGGATCTCAAACCAATGGTGCACATGGGCTCCAGTATTCTAAAGGAACAAATGATGTATGAACCAATCGTTGGCCACCGGCTACCATGGGACTGCATCTCCTTACGATGCTGCACTGCCTTGTGGATCAGACCTTCAGGTCGAAGGCTACGGGTGTGGTCCCCTAAAAAACCACCTGCTCCGATTTGGGCACCCGGACAGTATCACAGCCCTCATGCATATCAAATGAGATCTGTGTGGCGTATATGTATTTGGTGCCTCCTTGTATCAATATCTATGTGTTCAAATAAAATAACTAATTATAAATGTTCTCTTATGACCATCTGCAAACATTAGTGACACAATATATTGGCCGATTTTTTTTCTGTGTTCTGTTACACATATTGGTAGTCTGGATGTTTACTGATGTCAGTGGGAAATCTCTAGTATCCTGTGGTATCAATGTAAGTTTGACTATAAATAATGGTTGACTTGTATCAGTGTTTTACATAACATGGTTACTGGTATTTAGCGAAGGGTCCTTAATAGACGTCTGTGTTTATGTTATTTGTACGTTTTCTTCGATTGAATGACGTAGAGTGCTTCTCAGTAATGTAAGCTTCTTTTTTTCTAGCACATCTACCAGAAGTGGTTTCTTAAATGGATCGACTAACAGCACGATGTCATCAGAAATATAGTGCGGATGTTTTTTGCGAAATGTTGCTCAGTTAATCTTGAAATGGACAAGCTAACAGGCTATCGATAAACCTACTCATTGATTGTTGGTATAGGTCATGACCTAAAACATATCATACAGTTTGGCATGTACAATCCATGGTATTGTTGTTTGGGAACGCTATGCACTGTTGCGTTAAATCAGTACCAGTGACTTACTCTTTCCAATACTTGTGTCGCTCTAGATAATGCACATGCCACTAGTCTTGCTTTGACTTTGCTTATTTATCCGTGTGATTTTACATGATACATGAATACGTGACAATTGGAGTTGATATAGCACTGAATCGAATAATATGTTGTTTACTAGTTAGAACAAGTGCCTGTTTGAAACTGTTTGTGCTTTCAGACCTTTTCTGTGATATTCATTTTTGGAGATGTAATTGACCAGTAATTTCTTGAGTTTAGTAAGTAACCAGTGCATAAAGATGGGATGTCAAGGGAAACTAGCAATCAGAAATGATAGACACTGTATCAAACAAACAATGAGTTGGAGTAAACTCCAGTTTCCATTGCATCCTGTACGTTTAAGTTGTGTTGGTCGCAAGTAAAATGACTTGTGTTCATTATGTATACTTTGAACTGAGTCTTCTAACTAGATATCATTTGATGCTTTCGTGATATTGGTTTACTAATATTTCATTAATGTTGAAACTGTTTCTTACTTGGTTGGGCAGTTTACCAACTGGCTCATAGGCTACCTACTTCTGTGTTACATTTTTCCAACATATCTGACTATCTGAATTCATGGGTCGTTTGTGTGAAAAGGTTTTTACAAACTCCAAACGAAATTATTACTGGCCTGTTAATTTATCTAATGAGTGTATTGCTCAGCTGAGTTATTGTCTATCCATTAGGGATTAAAGTAATTTCTGGTTTTTGCGTACATTGAACTCATCGTTAGTACAAATCATGCTTGAGACCATGTATTATTCTAATCCACACTTTAAAAGTATTTGTTCACACACTAATTGTCATGATATACTTTCAGGATCCGAGAAACGTGATAGTAGACGTCCTCTAACTGTTCGAGATGTGAGTTTAATTCGCTTGGCAAAGAATGGGGATTTGGATTCAGTCAAACAAATGATAAAGGAAGGAGTAAACATAAACGAGCAAGATGAAACAGGTAAGGAAGTGTACCGATAGAAAAGAGGGAATTGTGTTGTATATCACTGAAAACGTGTGATTGTGTTTCTGTATGGGACTTAAAGTTATACAGGATAAATTGTGTATTTTATATTGTTGTAAATCAGTGTATAGACAGAATATAACAAACGTTTAGAGCGGATCAACTTAGTTGATTGTTTTTATTGTCTATTGATCTACGATTTATGCGTGCTATGGTTTAAGTTATTTGTCTCACAGCTTGACCTTTTAGACGTGGAATTTATCACTTAAAAGTAGAACTCCTTAGCATCTCAATGTAAATAGTTGGCTTTGATCATTAATCTCTACCGGACTTTTGTTTCGATCACTGATGCATGTTCGTATTTCATTTCATCACAGGAGCTGTTCTTCATGCAATTCCACTTAAATTTGTAGGTTGGACTGTATTGCACGAAGCATGTGTGCGGAACCTTCCACGTATGGTTGATTATTTGCTACGACATGGAGCTGATCCTAGTATCTCAAACATAAACGGTGAAATGGCACTTCATTGTGCTGCGCGAGTAGGATGTCTGCGTATTGTTCGAGCGCTCATATACTACAACGCCGACCCTTTGGTATCGAACCATAGGGGTGAGAAACCTTTGGACTTGTGTCATGACCCTGAGGTATCCAGTTTTCTCAAACAAGTATGTTTTAGATGTAATTTTGTAAAGGTTACATTTTGTAAAAATGATTGTGTCGTAGGAATATCAGGAGCTTATCAAGCAGACCAGTTTCTTGAAAGAATTGTACCTTTGAGATTTTTTTAAGACACTCCAAAAACTTATGGTGATACTTTTATGCTATGACAACTTGAGCCGGTATATATCTGTGACAGGCCCTACGTTGATGCTTACCGATTGACATCCTTATTTGTGTAGCCTTTACACTTAAGATGAGGCCAGATCATGGTCACTTAAGGGACTATGTTATCAGGCGAATGCGGAACTACAGTTCGATTATGGCAAGGAGGCAGTTGTGAGGTTGGATTTTTGTATCCATTCGTTGTATCACAGAACGGTGCATGAGTGTGTTCAACATTTGGAAAATTCATTGTCTCTCAAATTTGAACCTTTATCTTTCGACACGATCGTTGCCTATATTTTGCCGACTGGTTTTCACTTAATGGTGTGTACATTTGATAGATGGTTGCTTAATTTGGTTGATCGTGTCAACCTATCTAATTATGGTTAACCAAACAGTACTTTGTAAATGTGGTAACTGTATTATGTGAATTAAAGTGATTTCCCTCTTTGTCGAGTATAATTTTTATTTCCAGATTGCTTATTTGATCATAGGTATATACGTCATCGCTGTCGTTAATGGAGAACATTGAATGAATAGTGGTGATGTAGCAGTTAGCGTACTAAGTAAAAGTGTTGCATAGGTTGGTGAGATTATGAACTTTCACTGGCTGTGAGAGGGTTGGTGCATATGTAACGCTTGATCAGCCACTGACTACACCAGTGTTCCATGGAGGTTAGTATATATATATATATATATATATATATATATATATATATATATATATATATATATATATATATATATATATATAGGGTAGAAACAGGTTAGTAGCAACTAAATCGATTTATACCCGACCGTTGTTGCTACCTTGACGTGGTGGTCGGGCTTGCCTATCGTGATGAAGCAACCGAGCTATACTGGCTGGAACAACCGTTCCTCAAGGTCCTACCATGTCAGACAGGTCGGTTGAAGAGCGGTAAGACTAAAAGCAACAAACCTAAGGTCCGAAGGCGAAGTCGTACTGCTGACTGTACAGAGGTGTGACAGCAGTAAGGTGTTTCCTTCAGACAACCAGCATGACAGCGATGCTGCCTTCCCACAAGGAGGGGTGGGGTTAGAAAAGGTCGACCCTAAAAATGCACACCTCACCTTACCTCACGGATTTCCGTCTCTGGCGGTAAGGCCCTTTGAAGAACGGAGCTAACATGTCAAAAACCTTCCACGGAAAGGCCGTGCGCGACCGGCCTCAAGCAGTTGTCCCTTGGGCACTGCGGTCACGCTCTCAGGTCACCGAGACCGCCTCTAATCCAATTTCCTTTTCAGGTACCTCCAGAAGAACCCTTCCACGGTGTGGGCAACCAGGAAGTGATAACCGCCCTCATACCTCTAACAGCACCCAAGACCACTGTATTCATAATCAACCTTCCTCTTCAATTCCTATTATTCCTCCTACATCGACTTTCAACCCTAAACTTCCTCCTTCGGCTTCTTCCTCAAGTGTCACCATAGCCAACGATTCTAGTGCTCAAAACTCTGTCCCAGGTCTACTGAAACCTCGCTCCAAACTACACATTGGAGCCTTCAACGTTCGCACTCTATGTCAAATCGGTCAGCAGGCTTCCTTGGCTAAAACCCTAGAGTCTCTTTCCATTGATGTATGCTGTGTCTCCGAAACACGCATACAGGATTCCAGTGTGGTCATTCACTTGACCTCACCTCGGCAAAACGGAGAGCCAACGAGATACACCCTACGTGTATCTGGTGACCCGATGGCCAGTTCTCGTGGACTGGCAGGTGTAGGCATAGCACTAAGCATGAGGGCGGAACAAGCACTGCTAGAGTGGATCCCCATCAACAGTCGTCTATGTGCTGCTCGGCTAAACGGCTCCGTAAGAACTCGGAAGGATAGGGACACACGTCGTTGCCTTTTTGTCGTTTCTGCCTACGCTCCCACTGACTGCAGCTCCGATGAAGTGAAGGATGAATTTTACAGAAAGCTTTCTGAACTTCTTCAGAAAGCTAAACGCTCAGACATAGTACTCGTAGGGGGTGACTTTAATGCGCAGATAGGTAGCTTAAACCAAACAGAAAGGCATTTAGGTGGATATTTTAGCATTCCGGCACAGCGAACAGATAATGGTGATCGTCTGCTGCAACTGTGCTCAGACAATCGCTTATTTTTAGCAAACACAAATTTTAAGCATAAGGAGAGACATCGTCTAACATGGCGACCCCCTACACCAAACCAACGATGGACTCAAATAGACCATATTGCCATCAGTCATCGTTGGAGAGGGTCGGTAGAAGATTGTCGCTCATTCTGGAGTACCTGCTTGGACTCCGATCATGCCCTAATACGGGTACGCATCTGCTTGCGCCTCACCGGACGCAAAAAAGCCACATTAAAAAGACCAATTAGAACTGAATTGAGTAAGGAGAAAACCAAAAATAGGTTCCAAGAACAACTGAGTTCACACTTAAGTAGTTCTGAACACGAGGCTGACCCAGATGTTGCTTGGAAAGACATACAAGCAGCTGTGGAAGCAGCAGTGACATCTATTAGCAACTTAAACAACAGAGTTTCAAAGAACCAGTGGATTTCTTCAAAGTCTATCACACTGATGGATTCTCGCAAATTCGTCCCATCAGGTTCCGAACATGATGAAGAGCGACAACAAATCAGATCTAGGTTAAGAAAAAGTTTAAGAAACGACCGTGAGCAGTGGTGGGCAACGAAAGCAAAAGAGATGGAAAAGGCGGCGACTATAGGGAACACAAGACAGCTTTACAGACTAATAAAAGAAACTGGAATTAATAAGTCAAGTGTAAGTGAGATTATATCGGAAAAAGACGATACTCTCATCTGCTCTCAGTCCAGACGTTTAGAACGATGGGCGGAACACTTTAGGGAACAGTTCAGCTGGCCTTCAGCGACTCTACAACTACCCTCCATTCTCAGACAGCGTGAATGGAACATTGAAGTAGGTCCCCCAACTCTTGCTGAAGTTCAAAAGGCTATAGATAATCTGAAACGAGGAAGGGCAGCTGGACCAGATGGACTGGTTCCAGAAGTCTTTAAAGATGGTGGTCCAATTTTAGCGATTAGGTTGACTAATATTTTAGCTAAGATCTGGGAGTTAGACGTTATTCCATCTGACTGGTCACAATCACTTATCGTCCCAATATATAAGAAAGGGTCAAAATCATCCTGTGACAACCACAGAGGGATTAGTTTAACTAATATAATATCTAAGATACTAGCCTCGATAATTATCAGACGCCTAACTAAGACTCGTGAACTGCAAACACGAGAAAACCAAGCTGGTTTCAGACCTGGTCGTGGCTGCATCGACCACATATTCACCATTCGTCAGGTTCTAGAACACAGGCACACTTATCGGCGTCCGACGATGGTGGTCTTTCTTGACTTAAAAGCAGCATTTGACTCGGTAGACCGCGAGGTTCTGTGGCAGTGTCTGTCATTGAAAGGCGTACCTCAGAAGTACATAAACCTTGTGAAGGCTCTTTACTCGAACACTACTAGTCGAGTGAGAGCTTATGGCGAACTGTCATCTACTTTTGCAACTTCAAGTGGTGTCCGTCAAGGATGTCCACTTTCCCCATTTTTGTTTAACTTCATCATAGACCTACTGATGGAAATAACTTTCTCGTCGACTGAGTTCTCGGGTATTGATCTCTTTCCAGGAGGTCCACTTATCGACTTAGAATACGCAGATGACATAGTCCTGTTTGGTGAAGACGCTGACAAAATGCAGAGTCTTCTGGTAGCACTGAGCAACAATGCCAGGATGTTTGGAATGCGCTTCTCTCCCTCGAAATGCAAGTTGTTGCTTCAGGACTGGTCTGCGTTAGCACCTGAACTAAGGATAGGGAGTGAAGTAGTCGAACGCGTTGACAACTTCACTTATCTTGGAAGTCTGATCAGCCCTAATGGGTTGGTATCGGACGAAATCTCAGCACGGATTCGAAAAGCTCGTTTGGCTTTTGCCAACTTACGTCACCTGTGGCGAAGGCGAGATATCCGTCTATCAATAAAAGGACGAGTATACTGCGCGGCAGTCCGTTCTGTTTTACTTTACGGTAGCGAAACATGGCCATTAAGAGTAGAAGACACTCGCAAGCTGCTAGTATTTGACCACAGATGCCTTAGAAATATTGCTGGCGTCTGCTGGGATAATCGGGTAAGTAATAGTGAGGTTAGACGCAGGGTATTAGGAAAGGATGGTAAATCAGTTGATGAGGTTATGAATCTTCATCGACTGAGATGGTTGGGCCACGTGTTACGTATGCCTGAACACCGATTACCACGACGTGCAATGCTATCCGGTGTTGGGGATGGTTGGAAGAAAGTTAGGGGCGGCCAAACCAAAACGTGGCATCAGTGCTTGAAGTCACTAACTTCTAGTCTGAGCCATGTTGGTAGATGCAGACTACTTGGTTGGGGTCCGCGTGACTATCGTAACCAATGGTTGGAGACTCTTGGTGACATGGTTCAGAATCGATCACAATGGCGTAGGTGTATACACTCGGTTTCTTCCCTTAAACTAAGAGATTGAAAGCGCTTCATATCTTTCTTTCTACTAACCAATTCTTTCTTCTTGTACTATATCTCTATACACAATCTTTCTCTTATATATTACCACCTTTTACCTAACCACTGTTATGAATCCGGTGTTCATCTTGTTGTGCTGATGCGGTATGGCAACCTGGACCGATGCACATAAGTGCATGGTTCTACGTTGTAACTGACTGACTGACTGAAATCGATTTATAAGGTCAACTCATGAAGTCAATGGCTATTAATCTGAGCCATTTAGGCTCCTTGATTGTTGTTTGTCTGTCTATGTTGTTTATTAACTAGGTGATGAGTCGAAATTAGTTGTAATGATGAATGTATACACATTTCTCAACATATTGTAAGTGTTGGACATTCAAGTATTATTTTGTATCCTTCATTCGCTTTTGGTGTTTTGCTTGTCTTCCTCTTCGTTTATTGTGACTTATTCTCATCTAAATCTTGAGTTTCAGTTTTGATGCTTTCCGCCTTTGATTTGATTAATTCTTTTCTAAACGTACTTTATGTATTTGGTTTCCACTACTATTAGTATTATTATTTCGACTCTGTTTTTCGTCTTTTGAACTTCCTGTCCCTACATTGATGTAAAATTTGGCAACTTAAACCAATAGTCATTCGAGTCAGTTCATACGCCATATACACATAATCTATTCACTAATTGGTCAAGTTTTACTGTTTCCTGAATATACTTTATTGTTATTGTGTTTATATTTTCAGCATACTGAAACTAACCAACCACACATGTTAACATCGTCTGGTTCTGGAAAATCATCACATTTGAAAGTTCGCCAACATGCACACGGTACAAAACATCTGATGTCTTCTTTTTCTGGTACGACAATATCCAGTTCTACTGAATATTATGGTGGTGGGGGTAAAGATAACAGTAGTATGGCAAGTCCATCAAATGTTTATTCAGACTCAGAAGATGATGGTCATTCGCATTCAGGTTTGAGTATAACTGCCAATACATCTCACCATAATATTAGTCCTATTAATACTAACCAGCAGTTAGATTTGAATTGCTTATCATCTACCGGTCATCATAACCATCCAACATCTAGCCCATCATTGTCGTCTGTACCCAAATCCGTAACTGATGTGCACATCTCTTCAGCAAAGTCATGTGAGTGTTTTTCACGCATGTATGCTTCTACATATTCCCCTATTATTACAATCTGTTTGGCTTATCCTTTGTTGTAAATTTTATGCAATATTATGGTGTACTATTCCGGTAATTGTTCACAGATCTCAATGTTTGTCTGTGTTATATAGAGTTTTGCAATAGCTATCAAAATCAACTGACAAACTGCTCAGATTGTACATGAGAATATATAGATTTGCTCATCGTTGTATAGATGCAAGTGTCTCACTTGATTATCAAATGTTATGCTTCACTCACCAATTTTCGAAGTGATTAATGAAGTGGAGGTTTGTGATGTCTAGCTCCAAATATGTTGGTGTTGGAAAAAACAACAAAATGAGCTTTGTTCAGTGTATTTTTCACTTGATTGTGATTATGACTATCACCATTATCAGATAATGCCTAATGAATGTATTATGAGTGATAAGTAACTAGGTTCCCCTTAATTATGACCTTAAAAAGCTGTCTGTTTGTTATCCGCTGAGTTTTGTGAAAGGTAGGTGGGGACTTATGTGATTGCCGTGTATACCTTACTAGTTGTTAGCATAGTGGAATGTGATAGACATGTTTATTGCGGGAATTATATGTCTGTGGTGATAAAAGCTCAAGGTAGGGAGAATGCTTCAAAAGATAGTAAAATGTCGAGTATGAATTGATGCTAAGAGTCAATATTTCGTGGAAAACAAGAGATGAATGCATCTACACTAGTGCTATCGGCTACTCGTGACCGTTGTTAGTTGGGAATAGTTTGTTGAGATGAAAGGGATGTTTAGTAGCCGGCAGATCTATATGAATCAAAAGTCCATCGGCTAGTGGCTTCTTATCACACAGTCGGATTGTCATGGTGTCAGATTTGACCTATGTCATCTCTTACGTATTTGTCTAATTAACGTTACCCAGCGGTCAGCTGAAATTAATGCTTGTTCTACATTTTTGGAATATTGCTTATCTTTATTTTTTAGTGAACGGAATACACCCATTGAGACATTAAATAATAAAGGTTGATTCAGCGAAGAGTTCTCTTTTCGGCGAATTCATTTTTTAAAGCTGTACAGTCGCAAATATATATTTACTTATTTTTCAAGATGATAATAATGACAATAATAGTGATAATAAACTTTTGTTAAATATAATAGCAGTGAGATAGAATAAACAAAGGTATTTAAAAAATTCTAATACTGGAAACCAATAGTTTTATTGTTAAGGGTTTAAATATTCATCATAAAGATAGATAGGAAAATTATCATTGGGAAAGGATGGCTTAGTGTGATAAGATCCGATGTAATCAGGAGGATTATAGAAGTAGAAATAAACCAGTCGGGGGTAGAAGGTTCATGGAAAAGATGGAAGGGGAAGCAGATGGTTGTAAAGGAAAGAAAGTATGGAGAAGAGAAAAAATGAGACATATTAAGACCATGTAGAGGAAGAGGTTAAACCAATCTATTTTGGACTCGATTCTGGTTTGCTCATATGTATGACTATCGCTTCGGCAATTTTAAGAAGATGCAATATAACTGCTTTTGGCAGCCTTCTACTTCTCTTGTAGATGACTTTTAACGCAGTCTGTCTTGATTGAATAACCTGTATTCACAAGGTTTTCGATTATTGAGCCGTTTCTTCCTCTTTTTAGCCACGCTAGGGAATGTTCTTGAATTATTTTGTATAAAGTACTCATCGAACGACTTATATACCTGGCTCCACACGAGTAGGTGAATTGGTAAATGCACATCAGATGAGATAATTTATCTTTAAGATTATTGATGGACAACGATCGGCTGGAGAACACGATTCGCAACGTTGCTGCGAATAACGTTCTTTTTAAAGACTGAGAAATTCTCTTCTTTAGGACGTTTGTAGTTTTATCACCCTTAAAATCGATGTTCATGTGGTGTTTTCTTTTCGACTGATGTTATTTATGTTTTAGGTGGTTTAGGTTTCATGTCCTCGTCAATAAATATCGAAGGACACCCATTTTTTGATAAGTATTTCCTGCTTCCACATCGGATCTTATCACACTAAGCCATCCTTTCCCAATGATAATTTTCCTATCTATCTTTATGATGAATATTTAAACCCTTAACAATAAAACTATTGGTTTCCAGTATTAAAATTTTTTAAATACCTTTGTTTATTCTATCTCACTGCTATTATATTTAACAAAAGTTTATTATCACTATTATTGTCATTATTATCATCTTGAAAAATAAGTATATATATATATATATATATATATATATATATATATATATATATATATATATTTGCGACTGTACAGCTTTAAAAAATGAATTTGCCGAAAAGAGAACTCCTCGCTGAATCAACCTCTCTTATTTCATGTCTTAATTTGTTCAGCTGACTTAAGTTCAATGTTTTCATTTGCATTAATGTCATATTTCGTGTGGTATGTAAGCAACCAATGAGGATCACGGGATGTTTTGTGTATGTATTTCCCCATGTTTGTATGTCATTTGAACATTAGTGTTTACTGTTAACAAATGCTAATTTATCATCAGTAGTGGCATTTGCCTTCATTAATCTCTTGTCTGTGAAACGCGCATGTATGCGCGTGCATAAACAAGCAACCAACTAGTGTAGATGTATGTACAAATGGGTGACTAGATGAAGTTGTCATTTATTGCCATATGTTTATGCTTGTCTGTCATTGTTTGTAGTAGGTACGTAGCATGGGTTGGCTATTTGGTGTTTGTGTTGTTGTATTTGCTTGTATATCTGTATATGTCTGTTGAAGTCGACTTATCATTCGTCATTGTGGTAGTAAGTAATAGTATATTTCTATGTGGTGTGGGTTGTGTTTAGCAGTCATAGGTACACTAACTCATCTGTCGGTCAGGGGTTTAGAAAGTTTCTTTCGCTTTTATTGTAGTAACAGTCAAGTGTACATACTTGTGATACACTTGCGCATGCAGGTATGCGCTTACGTAGATACGATGGCGAGGAGAGGGAGGGGACGATGAAGGTAAACACTCACTACCAGCAGTTGCATACAAACAATTTTTATGCCAATAAATAAGCAAGTAAGAGTCTTCGCATTAGTTTTTAAATAGTTTTAGTGTTTTTGCATATGTCTACTGCAGTAGTAACGTTGGTGTGAGCGTGTAAATGACCATATTGTTCAACCTATGGAGTACTTTTTTCATGACAAGTCAAATGTGAAGTTATTTAGAAAAATACGATCATAATTGTTGTTATTGCTATTTTTGTGGTTTTCACATTGAAAATATTTTCACTATAACACTGATCGAGTGTGTGATCACTTACTAGAAGAGACAAAAGGTGGGACATATATATGTGTTTGTGCACGACAGTAGTACATAAATAATACTAATAATAATAACAGTAACATATAAGTTGTTTGTTGAGATAGTTAAACTGCTAATTGTGATCGCTGTCTTTGTGTACGTGCTCATGTTTGTCTCTATCTAGTGAAGAAAGATCCCTACGCGTTTGAAGATGATGAGAATGATGAGACGGTGAACGATTCTGGGAACTCACTACTTCATCCTGCGTCTGGTGTTAATAATAGTAATAATACCAATACACAGGCAACAGGACATATTGGAGTTCATTCTGGTTGTGGTGTTAGTGTTGGTGCTCCAGCCAATTTGAATAAGTCAACTTCCAATTCTACCATTTCTTCTTCTTCTTCTACTACTACTTCTGTCAATACAAATACGAATACTAGTCCAAATAGTAATATCAGCCTTGGTAGTATTGATTCACTTTCAAAGCACACACGCCAACTGTCTTCTTCCAATTTGTCAGCAACTGTGGAGTGTGGAAATACCACTTTGGATAGTAATAACGATAATACATTGACGACATTGACTGGTACAATCAATAGTGCTCTTACTACAACTACTGCTCCCAATAATAGTAGCAATTACACAACTAGTAACAACAACTGTGCTAGTATTGGTGGGCCTCCGCTTCGGCTTCGTTTTGCAAAAGAAGCCGGTCAATATACTTTGATGGAACATCAACAACAACAAATTGATTTATCCATTTCGAATTGTGATGCAAATCTTGTTCCTTCATCAAGTGGAATTATTTGTACAACAACTGAAGCATCTCATGTCACTGTCATTAGTGATAGCGACAACGATAACAAGAACATGAATTTTCAAATGGATATTGATAACAATAATAATAATAGTAGCGATAATGTCAGTAATGAGCATAACTCCAATATGGGTACATCGATGACGATAAAAAGTGAGCCAATCACCATATCAGGTGATGAAGAATTGAATCATGTAAGTCAATTATTATGACTATAATTGTAACTGTTCTTGAGTGTTTATTTTGTACAACCTACTAACCAGCTGATTAATACTGTGTTGGATGAATTTGCTGAGTAAATTTTGTGGATTGTAGATTGATATAAAACAGCTAGATGTGTGTGTGCAGGGTAGTCAAATGTAGACATTATCTTATTATTTATTTATTTGATAGTGATGTCATGTTAGTTAGAGTTTTATGTTTGAGATGTCGATGACAATGGGCGTGAATATTTGGTCACAGATTTGTTGTTGAATGTTGTATTCGTCTGGTAAAGAAATATTTTAACTTCACTGTTTAATTGATGTCGAAATATGAACATGTGGTAGTTGTAATTTCGTGGTAATGAAGTGATTTAAGTAGTGGGTTGTTGGTGATTAGTGAACTATCTATTAGTGACTGATCTCTCAATAGTTCATTCGGAACTATTTCTGATAACTTTTTTCATCTTCTGTTGTGGTATTAGTTATTCGTTGACATGTGAATGTGTGTGTGTGTGTTAATTTGGCTGTTGTCCTGACTGCTTAATCATCATTTTCAGTTTGTTACTTTGTTTTTCTATCTAATGTATGAGCTCTGTCGTTGAAATACTATGAGTGTTAGTATATATATATATTTGACCGATTTAGTGTGTTCTGTTTGTCAGTTCAGTTGTTTGTAATTGAGTAATTTTTTTTCTTATTGACATGCGTACAATGACTGACACTGGTTATGTGAGAATCCGTTTTCGGATTTTCGACATTGTTGAGTTACGAGTTTGTGAACCTGGTTGTTGGTCAGGTTATTATTCTAGGTTTAAACATTCACTTTTCAACCAATTTCGGGTATGTTGGAAACGGATAAGTGGTAAAGCTAGCGGTCAAACACACAGCGGAAGTGTGAATCACGAAGCCGAGCTCATGATTATGTACTTTTTGATCGGTGACTTGTATCCCATCTTAATTTTGTAACCATTAATTTATAGTTCATACTTGTACCCCCATCTCCCTATCTTGTTATTGTGAGTTAAAAGAAGTAATTGAGCTTAGTTGTTTTGGGGGATAGAATAGTGGAACAACAGTTTAGATGCTAAAACACTCGTTCTGTTATATATCAAGTATCCGTTGTCCGTTTGTCTCGTGACTACACTTTCTGTAGATAGTAAATTGTCGGAAGTGTATGCACTAGTGTCCGTGAGTGAGAACGAAAGCTTTAGACCAGGGAATGTATCGTTGCTTTGTATGTATGTACATAAGTATGTGTTTTTGCGCAATGTTTGGTTAATTAACGACTCAGTTTTTCTGATTGTCTTTGTTTCACCTGTTGGGTTTTAATAAATGATTTGGATTGAGAATTGTAGGATTGCTTAAATATGAGTGATTGTTTTGGATTGTGTATTGTGAATATTCGAGTTGTACTGTCTGAGTAGTCTAAGTCTCGCGGTGTGCAATTGTGAGCCGACGAACTGGAATTTGCTTATTCTGTAATTTAGTGCAAACACAAGTGATTAATATCGCTCGTTATATGTGGAGATGAAGAATTTGACAGGAAGTGAAACCTCTGTGACTGCATTCTGTGTCTATTGGTTGTTTCGATCAGTTGGACGTGTATCTGTACATGAATATTTCCCTTTATTGCACATTCTACTGTTGTGGTTGCTGCTCAGTACTCTAATTGTAGGATGATGAGCAGTGGGGGTATTTATCTAAGGACTATTTTCGACAGTATACTCATCATTGTCACCATGGGTTACTGTTTTCGTCCTGATTCTTCGTATGATTACTATTATTGGGATGCTACTAGTATTTTTAGTTAGAGGGGTATTGTGAAGTGATGTATCAAAGGGCGAATAACCCCAATACTAACAATAACACTGGTAAATTGAGTCAATCAGAAATCGGCCAAATGATAAGTACATTTGATTAGGCAGGAAGTGGCTTTTATTGCTAAGAGATGTGATATGCTCGAGTGGTGTCTTAGTTTTGTGAGGAACAAATATATGCTGAGGAGTCTCGCAACAAGACGAAACGGCCGTCCAGTGCTTCCAGGTTTTCCATGGTGGTCTAGCTTCAATTGACTCGTGATCTCAACGATTAGAATAAATATGTTTATGTATGAATGTGTACACACACGGTCGATTTGGTGTGGTCAATAAACTTTTTCACTGTCAGTGTTTTCAATGGAGTATATATATATTTGTGTTAATGAGGTGTGGCAACTTGCATATATGTGCCTGGTCCTATGTTGCAGCTGACTGACCGGTTGAGCTGGTATACGAAAAGTTTGTGTATCAGTATCAACTATCGGACACCTCATGTCACAATAAACATACTATTTCAAGTTCTGACTGGTGTTACCACTAAGTGTTAATGAATGAATGGGAATGTGATAAGGTTGATAAGAATATGTGACAGCTCATGTTTACCGTCGTTGTTGGGAAAATGATTATAATATCCTACCATGATAGAGTTGTGTATATGTGTGTGCTAGGTATTTTAATGGGGTTCTAAATGTAGCATTTCTACAATATCGACTAGAATTAATGTAAGGGAAAGGAGTTTATGTCTTTAAATTGATTGTCTGAGTTGGTAAATATATTTTGTGATCGTTGTTTGTTTTGTCGAGAATTTGTTATGAGATTGTGTGTATTTGTATTTTGTGGTCCTGCAGATTTGGAACGTTGGTGTAATGATTGATGTGTTCGACTTTCAGCCACTAAATGACAATTTCAAACCGTGCATTTTTAGGGTTGACCTTTTTTAACCTCATCCCTCCTTGTGGGAAGGCAGCATCGCTATCATGCTGGTTGTCTGAAGGAAACACCTTACTGTTGTCACACCTCTATACAGTCGTCAGTACGACTTTGCCTTTGGACCTTGGGTTTGTTGCTTTTAGTCTTTCGCTCCTCAACCGATCTGTCTGGCATGACAGAACCTTAAGGAACGATTGTTCCAACCAGTATGGCTCGGTTGGCTCATCACGACAGGCAAGCCCGACCACCACGTCAAGGTAGCAACAACGGTCGGTTCACGTTCTATAGTTTAGACAGTTTCCTACTGAATTTTGGAGTATGATGATTATTTTGTTGTTTGTATTCACCTGTGTCTACGAGCCTTTTCTTTTCTGTTAATTCTCTGTGACAGGTGTCTACATCATGCCATTCGGAGTCATCAGGAGGCGAAGAAATCTCGGCACAGAAGGTTCCTCCTTTACGCATAAAATTTGCTTCGGGTACTTCCGGAGATGAGTCATCATCAATGACGTCGTCGTGCATGTCAGTCGGAGCAACTGGTGGTGGATTGGCAATTCATCCTATTAATAATGTGGAGAATAATTCGACTAATGAGTCGAATATGAATGATAAATGCGACGTGAAACCTCGTGTATCTGATGATGGTTTGATGACTGTGAATAACAAAAGTGATGGTAAGGAGGCTGGAGTCACTGTCACTTCTCTGGTTTCGACGAGTGTCGTTTCACTGAATGCCCCAGTTCTTGAAAAAGTTTCATGTTCAAGCGTGGAGAATATCGGCGACGGTAACAGCGGCAGTAGTACTACTGCCACCATTACTACCGGCACTACCGAAACTGTCCACGATCAATATTCTAGCTACCATGATAAGTCATCTAAGTCTTGTGATCATGTTGTTGCAATGAATGTACACCATGACGAATCGAGTACAGAGTTGTCCATATCTTGTACTCCCCCATCAACATGCATCACTAGTGCTGGGATGAACACTAGTGTGAATATTGCAAGTGGTGTTAACATTGTTGAGATGAATAGCAATCGTGGTAATTCAAGTAATGCTAATCGGGTGAAGATGGATAATACGCTGGAGACGAGTGAGTGTCATGGAAAGAGTGGCAATAATAATAGTAATAATAATAACAACAACAACCACACGCACAATCGAAGTAATAATAATAGTAATAATACGAATAATGGTAATCGAGAAGTGTCGAAAGTGAGTTTACGTGTTTTTGTATGTTTGTTGATGTACGTAGTTGTATTAGTCACTTGGATGTTGTAATTTTGGTTGAACGTACTGAAGTGTGGTTTGATGTAGCTATTAATGAGAAAGTAGATGGGATTTGATTAGAACAACTTTCGGCAGAAATTTATCCATTCTGAATGTGCAAGTGTTTTAGTTGGTTTTGACTATGAATCCGAGGCAGAATGCTGGTGTTTCTTCTAAAAAGCTGAGGTGAAGTGATGTGATTCGGTGCGGGATGAGGGTTACATTAATAATTGGATGCGGCGAACAGTAGGATTGCGCCCGACTGTTAGTCGGCGTTCTATTCCTTCATTTTCATAGTCCAGCATTGGTCAATAATATATTGATAATGTTGTTGCTTAGGATGAACTGTTGAGTTGTATGGAAGATTTCCGACTTCATCAAAAGTTAAATTTTTAATGCATGTGTGATAAATTCAGACAGACTGTAGTGGTTTGAATGTTGTGTTAATGTGTTGATAACTGTTATCATTGTTCGTGTCCTGTGTTGATTTTGACTGTTAATGGAATGAACTTGTTGTATATTTTGTGGTTGACTGAACTTTCTCTACCCTCTTCATTCGGTGATGAACTCGATTAAAGGTGAAATTCCGCTTTGATTTGTTATATTTAGTATGAATCTGTTTCAATTTGTCTAATTATTTCATTCTTCATGTATTCATGTTGTAGGATACTCATCGACATCGTAGTGGGCGTACATTACGTTCACATACAGCTGCTCAACGTGAAAAAGAAGAGAAGGAACGTCACAGTAAGCATTTTTTAGTTCAGTGTTTGTGATGTTTTGATTCCAATTCCTGTTTACTAACAGGAAACAGTTTGTGACCGATTGTAGAAGAAATTGGTGTTGATTTGATGAGGTAGAAAGAAGAATGTGATGGAAGATTTTTGTATGTGTCATTAATACTATAAAGTTTGGAACTTATGAATTACCCTGTATTAAGTGGATGAGACGCGACAACAAAGAAGTGATCGTCTAGTAAATAGATTATATTCATAGTTTTGCTTTTATTCGTTTTGATTGATTGATGTTTGTAGTGTAATGGATGGATTGATGGATGGATGAATGGTTCAATTTTGTAATAATCTCGAGTTTAATACATGCACATTGGTCTGTTGCCAAACGAGTTAACTTTCTATTTGATTATGTGAATATGTGAAAAATGTATAACTCAGTCAGTTGGTCAGCCAATCTTTGGTACTATAGGGCATTAGAAAATTCATCATCATCACACATAATGACACAAGAATATTGTGAGAATAACTTGCCAAGGTAAAAATAATGTAATTGAAGTTGTGAAATACTGCAGAAAGGTAGCTCACATAAAACCAAAAGTGAGTAAGATTTCATTTTTCTTGAACATTTCATTTTGGTGTTTATTGGAAAGAAACAAGTGATTGATGGGAGGCTTGGTAACAGCTTCGATTCTATGTTAGGAAGTCGTACATCGTTTATGGAAGCAGTTCCGGAGTATGAAACTCATCTGTGAATAGTGATCATAAAGTCGGTGAGACTGTGATGATGTTTTCTATCAGTTTTGTAGAATGTAATTGATGTACGTTGATGAAACTATTTTTTTCTCTATTTAGCGGATGACACTACTCCGATTAAGAAGCGTAAACTTCGTTCTCGTTCGGATACTGTGACAAATCATGAGAATATCAGTCAACAGAGTCGTAGTGGTGGTGGAATTGGGACAGTAAATGCAAATAATTCACCTGTAACAACTGTTCATGCTGGTTCGTCAACTGAATCTTCTAACGTGCCGTTGTCTTCAAATGCTGTTGCAAACATGGATGTGATTGAAGATACACATGGTTGTTTAACTGTAACTGCTTCTTCTCAAAGTGACAGTCACATGGATAATGAAGAGAAGAAGGTGTCTGTCGGGAGCTCTCAGTCTACAGTGCTGACGGATAAAGATACTACTGATGTTCATATGACTTGTGTTTCTGAAATGGAAGGAGGGCATTCTGTTTCATTGTCTACCACCACTTCTTCTTCTACTACTACTACCACTGCTACTCATACTACTCCTACTAATACTACTACTACCACTACTGACAATGATAACAGCAACAAAATGGAAGTGGATGGGAAACCAGAGATGTGTGGAACTGCTGTGTCAGTTGTGACATTGAATATGGATGGATCGAATGATGTGAATGTCGTGTCATCAGTCTCCGAAGTAGGAGTGACGACGGTGGTAACAACAACAGTAGGTGTAGCAGGAATAGCAACATCAACTCCATCATCATCGTCATTAGCGGAACAGATAGGTGGATGTTATAGTGAAGCAGATTGTGATATGAGTTATTTATTTTGTCCCTCTGCTCCTGGAGATGAAGATCGTAAAGATGTTGAGTTGTTGAAATTTCAAAATCCATATGGCAAAGCTGCTGAACTGAACAAGAATGTAAGTGGTTTCAGTCAGTTAGTATTATTGATAATGAATGTTGACTGGTTGGTTGGTTGTTGAATGGGGATACATTTAAGTAGTATTCTATTGTTAGTAGTAGCATTTGTAATAGTTCAATGTTTGTTGGGGAAGTGTTAACAGAAATATTGTAATTATTGCTTTTTGTTTGAGTGAAATAAAACTGTTTGAAGAGTTATATTTCGATAAATTTGACTCTATGTATGACATAGCTGTACTAATGAGATTTGTAAATAATTTTCATGGTTTGTTTTGATGCAATCAACTACACTAATACAACAGTTACGTGAACTTGTCAATAATCTGGTGAAGGTCCATCCGAAAGCACCTTGTGGTTATCAAGATTACCTGTTGGTTACTCGCAATTACCTATTGGCTAATCAACTCTCATTTGCTACATATGTGAAACGTGTAAGTTTTTTTTAAAACTATTTTGTGCATTGGTTTTTAGTAATGAGTTAGTGTGGTGTAGTGATAGTGGCAGTATTGGTTGTATTTGAACGATAACTATGGGCTTTGTAGTAGTTGTAAATACTGTTTTGTTTGGTGAAGGTGATTTATAATTTTAATTCGTTGAATATGGTGTGATATTTGGCGACTTGAGTTTCTCATTGTCATTCGTAAGTGTTTATTGTTCGATCTAATTTGTTCTTCGACCTGAAGTGTGTATGTTTGTGTTTTTTAAAACTGGTTCATAATAAAGACGGACTACCTGAATTCACCACATCCATGTGTATATACCAGTTCAACTACTTCTGTGAAACCAGTTATGTAGGGTGTACAATTTGGCAAGTCCGTTATCGTATTGCAGATCACCGTCCGTGTTGGTTGAGCAAAGGACAGGTAAGAATGGTTAAGAGTTCTATTCCCGTTGACTTTGTGGACACAGGTTATCAAGTTAACTTGAATAAAACTTTTAAGGTTATCTACTATATTCCATCAAATTTACCACATGGTTTACGAGTTCGTCTGCTGCATATCACTGAAGCCATCGGAATCCATATTTATAAACCAAACCTTTACATCCGAAAGAAATTTGTACAACCATTCTCACCACTTTGTCCATCGGTATAGGAGTGAATTTGTAGCTGAACGTTTTTGTAACTCTTTCTTTAAAAATATTTGAACTATTTTCCAATTTCTTCCACGTTTATATTTTTACATATTCTCAACAATCGTCTCTAGATTCTTACATAACTACAATGATACTGACCTTTCATCAAAATATTCTGTTAGTCCCTTCTTTTTATATATTGTGCATTGCAGTAACTGTTCAAATTTTCGATTGGTTACTTTGATTACTATGATCCCCTTCCTTTCAATTACTCAATATTATTTTATAATTAATGTGTCATTATACAATTATTATGTAACATAACTACTCAACGAGTACTATTTCATTATTGTAAATAATATATTAGTGTAGAGCCATGACGAGAATCTAATTAAACAGAAATTTCTTCGTTCGATCAATTGATTTTTTTATCCGATGTTTTGAATCACGCTAGTTGCTGTGTATTGTGATGTATGTGAGGTGTTTGATGACAGCTTTGATCGATAGAGGTTTGTGTGGAGGTCCCAACTACGTTGATGATATGTGACTAATTGATCATTCCAGTGAGCTGTATGACCTGTTGTGTGATTGCACTCACTCATGGATGAGCGTCTACAATGTTAACTATTAGGGTGACCTTGATTGTCAAGTTATGTACTAGAATGAGTAAGTGAAAATTGAAACATTGTGATGTTTTACGATTTAGTGGTTATTCCAACCATGAATGAGATGTGTAAACATTGAGGCAGTTTATTCTATGAGTCGTTTAGAACGTTGTTTGTTCTTTTGTGAGTTGTTTATTAACCAATTTGTTTGTCTTATTTGTTTATCATGTAGTCAGCACCGAGTCATTTGGAAGCAACTTTTGTGGAATTATTCAATGAACAAGAAGAAGAACGCTATGCCCAGGCATTGAAACACCAATCAGAACGAGTAAGTGTTGATATTTACTGTGTTGGATGCGTATTTTGTGTGTGGGCATGATTAGAAATAGAGTGATTGAAAGTGAAATATTTTGTCAATACTTAATAGTAGTGATCTAAGCACTGTGTTGTGTGTGTGGATTTGAATGACGACATAGTTGTTAAAGTAAAAGATATGACATATAGTAAGTGTGACTTGGAGATCGTTGACGAGAGCAGTAAAGAATAAACTGTTCACGAAACACGCGTTCTGGATTCCACTGCTAGCTACTATCCATCATTGCTTACAAAAAGCTTGTACATTAAAGCAATATCGAGGCATACGCATGGTATGCACATATGCCAATAACAGACTGATCAATTGCATTCTCAAACCTCAATAAGAAGATACAAGCCGAACAATACCAAGTGAATTTAAACTGTCCACTGTTGTAAAAATCGTTTCGATGAATGTGAAATGTTTTATTTTGTTGTATGGACAAGAGAATAGACTATTTGTATGTCAATGATTGGGAAATTGGGACGGAATTAACGTAATGTTGATATTTGTGGATTATTTTACCAACGTTTTTCATTCGACTTGTAATTTTCATAATCGTTAATTGATTTCAGATCTGTATGCTTATGGTAATGACAAATGTTTGTTTGAAATACACTGAATGTTTATTTCAGATGACTTTTTCTAGCGTTTTATTATTGATTGAAGGAACACTTACAACTGGGCGCAGAACAAGCTGTTTTACGTGCTCAAACACGTGGTGCTTTAGCAGTGGCCAATCAATCGAAACCATATTCGTTTTGTTCAATATTATCCTATAATGATTTGACGTATATTCCACCGGTTGGGAAATTAGAGAATCGAGTGAGCAATAGTAGTATATTTGTTTTCTCTGTTTTGTTTGTTTATGTTTATATAATTCGAGTTTATGAAACGAATCAGTGATGTGTTGTCATATTAGTCGGGAATGTGAATATGAATATTGGAAGGTGGTGAGATGTTGTCAATCCTTTATATTTATCATCTGTTCGTGATATGGTTTATGTTAGCTTTATATGTATTCAGTGTGTGTGTGTGTGTTGTGAAGCCAAGATTTATGTATTGGTGCTAGGAGTTAGTGAAGAATGTTTTCAAAATGATCGACTTCTGTTGAGTGGGTTTGTTTAGTTTTCCGTGTATTGTTTTGTAAAGCTGAGTTCGTATGTGATTTGGTTTTTGGAGTTTTCTATATGTTTTTTAACTTCGTTGTTATCGTTACTACTGTTGAAATAATATATTGTGAGATTGTGGTCTTTTAATGAGATAATGATCCTTATTCCACTGCAAAACGGAGAACGATTTTGTTGAAATGCTACTCTCCACTGTTTAAGATATGTGTAGGCGCACATGTGCTTGTCAACCCATATGTACATTTGTGGTGTATGCCAACTTACGTCACCTGTGGCGAAGGCGAGATATCCGTCTATCAATAAAAGGACGAGTATACTGCGCGGCAGTCCGTTCTGTCTTTCTTTACGGCAGCGAAACATGGCCTTTAAGAGTAGAAGACACTCGTAAGGTACTAGTATTTGACCACAGATGCCTTAGAAATATTGCTGGCGTCTTTTGGGATCACCGGGTAAGTAATAGTGAGGTTAGACGCAGGGTATTAGGAAAGGATGGTAAATCAGTTGATGAGGTTATGAATCTTCATCGACTGAGATGGTTGGGCCACGTGTTACGTATGCCTGAACACCGATTACCACGACGTGCAATGCTATCCAGTATTGGAAATGGTTGGAAGAAAGTTAGGGGCGGCCAAACCAAAACGTGGCATCAGTGCTTGAAGTCACTAACCTCTAGTCTGAGCCATGTTGGTAGATGCAGACTACTTGGTTGGGGTCCGCGTGACTATCGTAACCAATGGTTGGAGACTCTTGGTGACATGGCTCAGAATCGATCACAATGGCGTCGGTGTATACACTCCCTGTCTTCCCTTAAACTATGAGATTAAAATCGCTTCATATCTTTCTTTCTACTAACCAATTCTTTCTTCTTGTACTATATCTCTATATGCAATCTTTCTCTTATATATTACCACCTTTTACCTAACCACTGTTATGAATGGGGTGTTCATCTTGTTGTGTTGATGCGGTATGGCAACTTGGACTGATGCACACATGTGCCTGGTCCTACGTTGTAGCTGACTGACTGACTGGTGTATGCTACTTATGTCGACAGACGTAATTAGTGTGTAACACCAGGCAGATATGAAATGTCTGTTAGCAGAAGGTAGGGAAGATTGAACTGAAGAAAAGAGAAAGAGAAATATGAAGAAATTGGGAAGTGGATCAATTATGAAGGATGTAGAGGTTGATTGATGGAGTATTCGCAAATGAACTATTTGATATGGTGGAGAAATGTATGGTTTTCACATTTCACGAAACAACTCTGTAATTTTACTTTAGACAATAAATTGGTCTTCCCCACTGTGTGGATGGCTCTCTGTGAACTCAAGGAAGCCTAAGACATTCCATCTAATCATCTTTTGGAAGAACATCCTAGGATATCGACGTGTGGCTTCCCGACTGAACAAATGCTAAAAACCACTGCATGCGGATTGGATGATTCTAGTGATTATTTTCTTTTTTACTAAGAACTATGAATATCCGAGTGTTTCGTACCATATTTGATTGGTTGTAAGAAACTGTTCGTGTGGAAGATATTACATCGTATATTTTTCTAACTATTATATTGTAATAATGATTATTAGCACCATAGAAGGAATAGCTAAGCACAATAGTGCGCCATGAATTGGGCTACACAAAGCGTATTAAACATTTTCATGAAGCATTCGAGGAGGAAAATTTTGATACCATGATGATGCTGATCGATAAATGAAAACCGTCGTGGTGTATGTTTTGAACGGTATATTCGGATTCGTTTATCCAGTTGAATTTTCTGTTTACTAATCTTGTTTCTTGTGAAATTGTGTAATTGTTAATGAGTAGTAATCGTATTAGTAGTTACAAAGTATACTTCAATGTGAACAATCGCAAATAGTGTTGTCTTTGTGACTTATACTTGTTGCTGTGAGTGGTTGTTTTATTTTGAACTTTATCGTCAACTGTGTGTTGTGTTGTTGTGTATGACTGTTGTTGATGTTTTCTGGTTCTGTAGTTAGTTGAATTGAGTAATTTTCACAACTGGATTTTGTTGTGTATTATGGTTTTCTAAACGTAGTTATGTTTTGCTGCTGTCCACTCAAATTAATTGTCCACTGTATTCGATTGTACATGTTGTGAATGAGAAGAAGAATACTGATAGTTTGTTGAGATTAAATCTTAGATTGTTGAGATGGGGATCAGCTCACTCCGTGTAGTAGTGCAGTATGAGACGTCTGATGATAGAAAGTATTACCTACCTACTGTAAGAGCTAATTCTCCTACGTATTATGAACAACGGTTTGGCTGAAGACAGTCAGCATGCTTAGTTGGTGATTTACAGTGTTATTGTAGTTGTGTATTTATAGTGGTGGTGGTGTGGATATTGTATAAAAGTAGCATTGTTTATTTATTTGAAATTTGCTTGTCGATTGTTTGAACTGTGGGCTTTATCAGTTGTGTGCAATTGAAGCACATGAAATAGTATTTATGATTGTAATTTGCTATTCATCATAGGTATCTTTTTACATTGTTCTATTATCTGTTTATATATGTACATACTCTCTAATTTTGTGTGTATGTTTTGGTGTGTTTACAGGAAGAAGAGAATATACGCGATCGTTTTACCCCTCGTACATTTATCGGTTGGCTTCAAGACATTATCGATACATTTCAGAATGAAAAGGTGAGCTGAAGCATCATTTGATTGTCATTTATTTGGGGGTTGTGAAGTTACCTGATAATTCTGAATGTTTTGAAGTCAAACTGATGGTTGATTGATTAATATGGTTGAAGTTGTTTTGCGGTGAAATAACAACATTAAGGAATTTGTCAAGTACGATGGATGAATAGAAATATTGATACAGACAACAAAGTCAAGCATCTTGACAATGAAATGAGACTGTATAAAAGAGCATTTTTCATATAAACAGTGTTAACCTATAAGTAAATAAGGTGTTTTTTTGTTATGATGGACAGTGTCGGAAATCTGATCTTGATACACAACGTGCTACATGCTAACTCCCGACCTGCCTACTTAAGCGAAAAAACATGATTGAACGGGAAAGTAATTTTCCCTACCGAATGATATGCACAAATACTTATTTTTATATATCCCGTAGAAAATCAATCAATTTCTGAATGAGTGATATACACTAGTCCTCCATATTAGTTCTGAATGTGATTGAGTGAGATTTTGGGTTGGCCACTTCTGATTGGCTCACTGTGTCACTTGGCAGATGAAAGGTTAATTCAGTCAGTAAGAATATTCTACTCAACACTCTGTTAACCGAGTCTAGGGGTAGGATTTCACGACTCTGTGATTGGGGTGTTACAGATGTCGGATGAAGTTTGGTTGTGTATGTGAAGACGTTGCGGATCGATCGTTGCATGTGTACCTTAGAGTGTAACAACAACACTAAGTGCTTTATATCTGTTCATGGTGTCCTCCTCTCACTCTCTTCTGTGTTTTTGCTTGTACATTTTTGTATTTAGAAGAAATTACTCTGTCGACAACTTCATGAAGCTGAGTCACTAATGATGGTGCAGAAACTTGATTGGGAAATGAAAACCCGTGAAACATTGGCGTCGAATATCGATTGTATTGGTGTTGTGGATGTATTCAAAGACATTCCAGCTAATTATGTTCCACTAATACCAGTGCCTAATGATTTTCCACTGTTCGCTCATGATCCGGTACATCGAACGACAACGACTACCACAACAACAGCTGCGCCGGTGGCGGCGGCAACAGCGACGACAATGTCAACCACACCGAGTACTCCGATCCCCATCACCTCTACTACCAACACCACCACACACACCGCTGTCAATAATAGCCCAACGGTATCAGCAACGACAACTACGCCGACTAACAACTCATGATTGATATGATGAAGGGGACTTGTTGTTTTCATTTTCTTAGTGATGAAATTTATGCATTTTGTCATACTTCTCCTTTCTTAGCTTTGATTTGATTTTACCTTTTCATCTCAACAAAAAACAGCCGGTAAACTACTGACATTCTACTCCTTCATCCTCCTCATCACATTGACTTTGTGTTTGTGCGTGTCTGTTTGTTTGTGTACATACTTTGTGTGTTGATGGATTGACTAATTTTTTAATGATTTTATGTTGTCATAATCATTGTCCTCGTCAGTATTTATGGGATATTAATATGTCTACTGAATGTATATCTGGTAGATTGATGATGATGAACAGTTCGTGTATGCGTGTGTGCGTGTTGGAGTTTTCTTTCTGTATTGTGGTGAAACTGTCTTTATGATGTAATTTGCCAGTGTCAATATGGCTGGTAACAATAATCATTGTTAATTTTTACTATGATTTGTATAGTTTATTTATGTATTCAGCCACTTATCTGTGTAATTAATTAAATGCATATGTTTATGTACCTGAATTATGTAATTAAATATAATTATTTTTTCCTTAGAATAGTGGGGTTTTCCCTATTCTAAAGGATACAGTATGGTGTCCAAGTTTGAAATTGTAGCGGATTCGAAATCATACAATTTTATCTCAAATTGTTTTAATATCGCTGTTTATTTGGGTATTTGTCATCGTTAGACAAAACTGTTGGTACTAAGCCGTGGGAAATGTTTGAGGGTATGCTTGGACGTGACTATAGCGTCTAGTATCAGTGTACAATTGATTAAGACGTTTGTGTAAGCGTCTGGGATTTTCTAGATGTCCATAAACCAAACCTCTAGACAATATTTGGGGTGTTGTTGTGTTTCGGATTGGTGTTTCTCCTTGTTGATATTGTTGTTAAGATGGAATTTATTTTAGGGGGAATGATTTTTCACTTGGCGAGTATAGGAAGAGTGACTTAGAAACGTACATGTGTTAATAATTAATCATTAAAATTAATATTAAAGACTTTAGAAGGATGTAATAAAATGAAATATCCGTTCGTTAAAGTTAAGTGTTAGCTGCATGAAAGAATGATGGATTTCATGTGTTTCTTTTGCCCACAGATTTCACTTTCGAGAAGATGGATTGCTTGCGCTTCTTCAGTGTTTATGTTAATAATTAGCGCTGATATCGAGCCAAATCTTTTTGGCCGTTTAGATTATTTTAAAGAACATATCAAGTAAGGCGATGTGACTGAAGTTCATAGATTGTTTTAATATTGAACTGTTGATTGTTTTACGTTAATCTTCCGTAAACTGCTCAGGATTATGTTTGGAGATAGGTTTGTGGAGCGCTTGCTTTGTGTGGCCGACGTAACCTGCTCCATGAGAGCAGGTGAATTTCTAAACAGATTGACGTGACCCAATACGAGAATTTATCCTTGACATACCGACGGATGATGGGACGGTTGGAGAATACAATTCGAAGCTAGGTGGTATGAAAAGCTTTACCGGAGATTTCTGTAGGTGATTCATCAAAATTTCCACAGTGATGTTTCCCTTGAACTTGATTTTCATGGAGAGAGTTTTCCCAGGAACGGTGTGAGGTCTTGTAGTTTGTAATCTAGGTCTGATGTACCGGTCAACAAAGTTGAATGGATAGCCGTTCTTAAGAAATATTTGTCGAGTTTGGATAGTTCATCGTCTATCATATTTTCCAAGCATTTTCACTTAGCCGTTGTTGATAAAGATTGAATTAATTTTCTCTTTCTATTTAAAGGGATTCAGCCGTAACTATTAGTATATAATCCATTCCAAGTTGGTTTTCGTTATATCGATCTTCCGTAATGTACCATCTTGTCTTCTATTTAATGAAACATCGAGGAAATGAAATTTCGATACCAATGTAAATTTGATGTATTTAGGGCAACTATTGAATGAGAGAGAGTCCTGTTTGCATTACATATAATTGTCATGTTGTACGTGATATTGTCTGGTCATATGTGTCCGTATTTATCTGCACTGTGAAGCTTCTTTTTTCATAGATCATAATTTCTTGTTAGAAATTGGGTGTATGATTATTAAAGTAATAAATATGTAGCTAATCTAATTCTACATGTTTTAATGTATTAAAAGTTCTCATAATGTATTTGTGTTACCGTACGACAAGTATCTATGAAAGCTGTTTGCATTTGTGTGTAAACTAAGTAATGATGTCGGTAATATGCATATCGCAGTCAGTGTCTGAATTATAGTCTTGATAACAGATTGACCGCCGGATATTTATAGATTATTAAATTGTTATAGCGCTGTAATTTTCACACTTATTTTCAGTCAACCAGAACATTCAAAGCATGCAATAAGCAGAATGTGTCTAGTGAACTAATCGGAAATCCGTTAATCACTTTTTCAAACTAAAATCTATTTACAATACGTCTTTACTGAAAACCAATGGTTTAAACTAACTTTGCAATTCACTCTTACTCAATTAGCTGTAAAGAATGCAAAAACAAATGATCATACGTTTATACAAGGAATACTAGAATAATTCAAACAAAAGCGCATAGTTGTTAACCTTGACCAGGTGAATAATTTACTCGTTTCAAGTCCATGTACGCATAAACGTCTTATCATTGATTCTCAAGATCAAATATGATTTGTTTAGTCTTACAACGACATATTTGTCTGGTACTATCCTTTCTATGAATATAGTTGTTATTTCTTAACTGGTACCAGTCTTAATATTCAATCAAAATAAATCAATTTATCATTTATTAAAGATAAAATATAAATTAATTAAAACAAAAGTCAATTTACAGAAAGATCTCTTCAATTTCACTTAATCTAATAACTAAATTGAATGGCTTAACTTATGAAAGTTTGAGAACTGTTTTAGTATGATTACTCCTCGTGAAGGAGCATAGGCCGCTCACCAACATTCTCCATCCAACCCTGTCCTGGGAAATCCTTTCTAACTTCTTCCAGTTGTTATTCATCCTTTTCATATCTGCTTCTATTTTCCGACGTAATGTGTTCTTTGACCTTCCTCTTTTCCGTCTCCCTTCAGGATTTCAGGCCAGGGCTTGCCTCGTGATACACTTTGATGATTTGCGTAATGTATGTCCTATAATAATAATAATTACCTTGATATTATATGATTATTGTCATTCTTATTAGAAAAAACCCAAACTTCCGGCTGCATAACTGATTTATATTTGTTTTTAACGAGTTTATAACTATCTAAAGTCTTTAGAAAGTACAATAATGTTTGAAGTAGCGGATACTAGGTTCAAGACTGTGTCCATATCAGTCATAGAGAATACAGATAGATCCAGAAGATGAATCTTAAATTAAATGAACTGCACATTTTAAATTTCATTACAATCCACAACTTAACTATAACATAATAGATTTAGCTTGAGTTCGAAATTGTTTACTGTACCCCCCCATGATAACTCCTCCTGGAACCCTTCTACTGGTCCCAAGCCCGGATAAAAGAGGAGGATTGGGCATGAAGTTACCGATCCCATCCTATAGAAAACTAACTCGCCCTCACTTGTAATCCTCATGGCCTAAAGAAAAAAGGAAGACCAAAGAACACATTATGCTGAGAAATGGATACAGACATGAGAAGAATGAACAACAATTGGATACAACTAGAAAGGAATACCCAGGACAGAGTAGGTTGGAGAATGTTGGTCGGTGGCCTATACTCCATTGGGAATAACAAGCGTAAGTAAGTAAGCAAGTAATCTTCCATGATAAATAAATATACAATAAGAAATCCTTCTTCTATAAGTATTATATTTATACAAGAAATGTACAAGTATCAATGAATTAGATTCTTTTCAATTTTTCATATTAATCTGATATGAAACAAAGGCAAAAGAGTGTAATGCTTAACTTTTTCAATATGAAAAAAATATATATACATGGAAGAAATTCAGTAACTCATTCTATTCTAACACTTTCAAACTAAACTTTAATGATCAATAATTGTAATACAAATACCATTTCCTAGTAAATACTACTATGAAGAGAAAGTTCAAAGCTGCTATTATCGTTACTATATGAAGAGGGGGATCATTAAAAACTGTACTGAGAATTCTCAGTAAAAAAAATGAGTTCATTGAAGAGATCTCTTTTTCAACGAATTCATTATGAAGCTATACATTCGTATATATATAAAGTACTAAATCCGTGAGGAAATATGAACAAGGAATAACCCAGATGATGTTATAGAAGGATTATAATGATAGATTATGTGATACAAGTAATAATAATAAACTTAATAAGTTAGTAACGAACGATAACATGAATGCCTCCAGATTCCCTGGTATGGCCGAGAGTGGGGTGGTCCCGCCCTTCCTCTCGAAATGTTGTCACACGGCCACGCGTACACAGCCTCTGCCAGAGAAGTCCTACTCACTGCCTTCTCGTGGCGGGGGTGTTGTTTACGAAAATGAGAAGACGAAAAGCGAATGTCTGGTGCTTTAACCGGATTCCAAACCAATGATGCACACGGGCTCCAGTATTCTGAAGGAACAAATGGCGTATGACCAATCGTTGGTCACCGGTTACCATGGGACTGCATCTCCTAACGATGCTGCACTGCCTTTTGGATCAGACCCTCAGGTCGAAGGCTCTGGGTGTGGTCCCCTAAGAAGACCACCTACTTCGGTTTGGGCACCCGAGCAGTATCAAAGCCCTCACGCGAATCGAATGATTTATGTGGCGCATATGTATTTGGTGCCTCCTTGCACCAATGTTTATGTGTTTAAATAAATAAATAAATAACGTGAATGTAGTGAGATGATTAAAATGTTATTGTTACAATAATTAAAGGTTATAGAGGTGTAAAAAATAAATAAAGTGATAGTATGAGCAATTATGAATAAGTTAATGGTTGAATTTATGAGTCAGTTAAAGCTAGACTACCATGAAAACATGGAAGCACTGGACGGCTGTTTCGTCTTAGTATGGGGCTCCTCAAAAGTGCTTACCCACGATCCCGAGTCTGTTGTGAGATAGTAACTCACTGAAGACAATGGTGGCGCAATTTCGTGTTTTGGTTGAAGTTAGATGTCAGCAATGTTGGATGCCGGCTCAATGGTCTAGAACTCGAGCGTTCGCACACGAGTTCGATAGGTCACGGGTTCAAATCCCGTGGGTGGGATCGTGGGTGCACACTGTTGAAGAGTCCCATACTGAGGTGAAATGGTTGTCCAGTGCTTCCAGGTCCCTCAGGAGGTCTAGCTTGGATCAACTCATGAAATCAACTATTAAATTACTATAATATCCACAAAACCCTTTTCTAATTATGAATAAAATAATGAGAATATGAGACATAAGTAAATGGAGAAATGCAATAACAATAATTAGAGTCTTGGTAACTATAACCATCTTGGTTATTCCCTGTATTCATTTCCTCAAAATTTAGCGAGCAAGAACACAGGCGAGGACAATTGGATGTACATGAACGCGAATTTACAGAATATCCCACTAAAATCTGAAAACCATACAGGAAATACTTCATTTGCAAAATAGCAATCTATTGTCTCGTACTTGTTTGTTCCTTTAATAAATCTCAGTCCATTGTCTCAGATTTCATTGTTCATGCATTTTCATACCAATCTCGATCTTCTACTGAGATACATTTTATTTCTAAC